TGTATGTCCATTATAAGTGTCCAAAGACTATAGTTAGTGATTTCTTGCCTGTAAGAAAGGTTTTGTTCAGCCAGGAAAACATCTCGATTAAAATATCAAAATTGCCACCAAACGTAGCTGTGGCGAGGAGGAATTTTTTCATTGTAGACATTCTTTGAAAGCCCAAAACTCACTGTTACCCTGAAAGGGGTGTAGCAACCATCAGCCATTAATTTGGCGAATGGCTCTTTCTTTACAAGAACTAAGCACTGTCATTTTATGGTCCACAAGTCGATGGAGTTGTCTTTGCTTTTAAATATTCATAAGTTCTGCTATAAACGGACTCAGCTTGTCGAAGACTCTACTAGACCAAAGGCCAGATCAGGTATCTGCTGTGAAGTCAGTTCAAGCTGTGAGAATGAACTTGGTGCAATACGTATTGCATTGCCTGGCAAACAACACGTATAGCATGTGTCATTTAAATAAACTTTCGCATTCAGTGCATGTAGAACTGAAATTAAAGTATTCGATAATGGAGTTTCGAGCAGATCAACATGTATGGCACAATGCGGTTTTAAAACCAAAAACACATGTACATACATGATATCTTTCATTATGTGAGGAAACTCTGAGCGCACTTTTTTTTCTTTTACACAATTTGGATTGTGATTTGTATTCCATGTTATAAAGGCCTCTGTATGGCCCATTGACCAATGTGTAGGCCTTTACTGAGATGCTGGTAATTATATCGTAATAATCTCTGTAACAACCCTGATTCAAAGTAATGTATATGGGTTTCTGTCAATTTGTCAATGCTATTGAGACAAAAATCGTGACTTTCTCGCATGCCATCAATACAGAAATTCAGCTCGAAGCTTTAATTTTCCCCGAACTTTAAATAATTTTAAACCGTCCGCGTTGATTGTTTTCATTGAAATTAATCAAGGAACACATCATTAGGACAATATGAAACAAATGGTAGACTCGTTAAGTCCCGGGTCTAGATTCGACCAAAATCCGGGTTAAGATTTGACCTGACACTTTTCCCCCCGAGTCAAAATGACACTTTTCTGAGGAACTTTGCCATTTGACCGGGTAAAATATCGTTTTGATACAAGCAATTGTTAAATTAGACAAATGAAAGCGTCGTTTTTACACCAAAAAAAGAAATGTCATTTTGACCCAGAGAAGTGTCAGGCCAAATCATCGGATCCGGGTTCCAGTTTTGACCCAGAGAAGTGTCAGGCCAAATCATCGGATCCGGATTCCAGGTCGAAGTTTGACCCGGAACTTTCAAGAGAGTAACAGTGGCTGGTTTGTGACAATGTTGGTTAATTATTTCACTCTAGGAGAATAAATGTACACATTAACAATGTTTGCGTTTTTCCTTCCAACCCCTGCATGCGTGGGTGTCCCATACATGTTTGTTTCCTGTTCCTCTGTCATTTGTCTGTGAAGAAGGCCTTGCTATAAGGCTGAAATATCAGGCCATTTAACCTTTTTGATAAAAAAAGATTTCTTAGAATCTGTGGAAAACGTCGTTGAGAGTCTGTCAGGGTTTCCTGGCGCAAACCAATCTATTGTCCACATCTTGAAAAGCTGATGACACCACATTTCAGTTCAATAATCTTTAAGAATCTAAAAGCATATCACCAGGTAAAAAGTTGTTTGAAAACGGCGTTTAAAACCCATTTCAGGCTAGCGTTCCAGAGTCGTGCCGTCCCCAATGATAACTAAAGGTAGTCTCCCATGGGGCGGTAGGAGTGCCAACGAGGGTATGCATTCGCCGACAAGGGGGCGTGCCCCCGCCTCCTCGGGGTGGGGTGGGGGGTGGGTGGGTGGGGGGGGGGGAAAGTTGAGAATACTTGCCAGCGTTGCAAGTGTTTGCCCTCACACGATGCGAATACTTGCGAGTAGCCCTTGCGAGTTGTACCGAGTAGCGCGGGCCGGAAGTGGGGATGGTGGAAAGATGAATATGGCAAAACTGAACTCGCTGGCCTTGTGTGTGAGTCGCACTCTCACACAAGCGAGTGACCTTGCAAGGTCGTTGCGAGTACCCTGCGAGTACTTGCCCAGTTTTGAACATGTTCAAAACCCGGCGAGCAACTGCGAGCCGTCCCATTCCAACTGCGGGTACCCGCAAGTGCTTGCGAGTATTCCCCCCCCCCCCCGGGGAGTTCCTAAAACTTGCACCCAATCGCGAGTCCACTCGCCCCGGTGGGAGACTACCTTTAGATTTCGACAAATTAATGACAAACAAGCGATAACATAAGTCTTTGAAAGATCGACTGCTTGTTCTTGTTGTTGTTGGTTTTTTTTTTTTTGGGGGGGGGGGGATTCGTCTTTATAGACGAATCCGCACACGTGATCACTCTACAATCACTAGGCCCCCTTCAATGGATTCATACTACACCGGCACCGCCGAGTTCTGCGCCACAGCGCACAATACACGCCACGCGTGCGCCAATCTCCATATAAGGAGTTGTTTACGACTACTCGCGAGAGGGACATACCATAACATATAGCTAGTAAATGAAGTAAAATTATTGAACAAAATCGTTGGAAATTTATATTTGTGACTTGTTTTGACTTTTTAACCGAAAAGGTATTAATTAATGTGAATAAATATGTGCTTGGCCGGTATTAAACAAGTCCGTTTAGGACCGGCGTGTGGCATGGTCGCTGATAATGTCCCTCGCCTTCTGCTCGGGCCAATGTCGGCGTCCATTCCCCACGCCGGTCTTAAACGGACCTGTTTAAAACTGGCCAATTACATATTTATTCCCTTCACAATGAACGCACAAAAGGTTTCCACATGCCTATCCACGCAATACAAAACCATTGCCCTCTTACTCCGCCCTAACGCATACGGTCTATTGGTACAATTTGGTTCGGCGCAACTACGAAATGCAAGTCTCAAACGGGGGTCAGTAAAGATCAACTATAATTTGTCATTTAACACACCACCGCCGTATGTTCTAGGATTAGATGATAACAAATAATGCTGGTTATATAAACATTTTGTTCAATTTTCAACTTGGCAAACAGCCGACTTCGGGACAAAAGAGCAGCAATAATGATTAGGAGACCCAGTCCAACTTGTCAATGCAGTTCACTCTGAGCCATAATGTTCTATTTCTGCAAGCTTCTATTACGAAAGCGGCGTATAAATCAATAAAATCTTAGAGAAAGAAAAAAAGAAGAAAAAAAAGCAAAACAAAAAGAAGCTACATAACGTAGGTTATAATACACAGCTGGAGTACACGTGGGGCTTTATAGAGCAATAACAGGCCTTTTGTTTTTATTAATCGTCTACACACCAAGACGCACTAAACACGTCACAGTGACGTCACAGGGAACGCGGTACCCAGATCCATAGTTATATACATAGACTGACCAGGCCCGACGTAATAGGCTAATCTTGTCTGCTGGAATATGATGTAGAAAATATTCCTAACACAGTTGCTCTAAATATTTTTGTGGTTTGGTTTAACTCCAAAGAATGACGCGAATCAATGTTGTGAGATAAATAATAACATCCTTGTTTTTTTTCTCTAGACATAAGTATGCACTAAGGTGATTTTGGCATCTTCAGAAAGGGGTTGTGTGAAAGGTAAAGGAACGAAGTTGACAGATAACATTCTTTGGAGGACGAAGTTAAAGCTAAAAATGTTTGAAGTTCTAATATCTGTTAAACGTTTCCACTGTACATCGAAATGGAGCAATAGTTCGGCAAGAAGTTCTACTAGAGGAGATGAATGCATGAATGTTAGTTCTCGTTGGCCTTATAGTTGTATTTCAAAAGCGCAAGTTAAACACTTGACGAAACTAGTTGATCATATAGTACTTCAACTATATAACTTAATAAGAAAGAATTATAACACTCTATGAAATCACACTGATTGTGAGAGGTGAAATATTCCACAGCATCTACTCGCGTTTTTCGTTGTGTAACTTTGCGTATTTGAAGGAAAAAAACAACCCAAAGTAAAGAATGACATTATATACATGATATGACAAATGTTTTAGAGCCTGCTTGAAATGTCCATATTGATAAGAAAGTTGAATGTAGTCCTACTAACGGTCTGCTATTGACATCTATTCTGGAATCGTTGAAGTAAAAATAAAAATGACTTGAGTATAATTTTCGGCACCACATCAGAATAAAAAGGTTCAAACCGAAACTCTGTAGAAGAATTAACAGGCCTGTGTGAAATTCAATGATTCTGCACAGGTGTGGAACTGTTGGAATTATCGTTTAATATTAACACCAAAATTGTTTGTTTCTGTCATGGATTTTATATCAATCGTAAACATCATTGGCGTCGTTCAAATGAATATTAGCATATTAAATCGCTACCAAAAATTACCAACGCACTTTGCCTCAAATGGTTTAAATATTAAATGTCAATAAGATGCAATGAAGTCAGAGCATATGATTAGATGATGAAGCGAGGTAAAGCAATGAACAGTTATTGCAGTATTTTTGCTTTTGTTTTGGGGTGTTTTTGTTTTGTTTTGCTTATGATCATTCTGATGTGGTGCCGACTGGAAGAATATGACTTTCGGTTTAACGCTATACATGTATAAAAGCTGTGCCTCCGAGCCCGATACAATTATACACCAATATCCCTCCACATAAACGGATAATAAAAATCATTTGTTTGAAACGAAAAAATACATATAAAAACTACAAAGGGAATACATGCGAATTAAAAAAAAACAGAGCAACCTGAACTTTGCTACAGCATCTAATTAGCCACTGCCGGGGGATCTAGAACTACAACAATAACGGTACGAAACTGGCCGTGCTATGAGGCGTTAAATTTATCACTCAAAAATAATAATAATAATGTACAAGCCTTAACCGGAGTCATATCTCGTGAGAGGGCAAGAAATGCGTAGAGATTATAGGTGGGTAGTCAAAGGAAATTAGGAGGAATAGAAATTGATGACATCAATCTGTGGAGGAATTGACAGCTATAATATGGTAATCAAGAAAAACATGAAAATACAAAGAACGATTCAACAAAGGGAAATATTTGGCAAGCAAGGAATGCTGAAAAAAAAAACACTTTGCGAACCTCAATTAGATACGAGGGAGGGTGAAATTGTCAAAATAAACGGGGGGTAGACCAATAAAGAGTGATGAAGAGAAGATCGTTTGAGAATCTAGTAGGAATAATCTTTGACATATCACACTTGGAATCATCTTTTAAGAAAAAAAGAAAATCAACTTTCATTGAAAGCGAGCTGTGTAATAATTAGAAAATTAGTATTTATTAAGGCAGCATAATCGAGGTCACTTTGTGCTGGTTCCTTTCATATTTGTTTTTCTTACAATGCGACTGTTCATTTTACTTATACAAAAAGCTGTAATGTCTTCTTTTTCATTAGCACACAAACTTAAAAAAACACCTTATTTCTAAAATCCTACTTTGCTAATAATTAGAAAAGAAAAAATTAAAAATACCCAAGTTTATTAAGATTATACATACACTGGAAAAAAAAAAAATTTGGAAAAAAATATGGCAAGAATGTTGGACTATAAAAAAAATTAAGTTCCACTAAATTTGAATTTCTACCTAAGGTTTTAGACCAAATGTACATATGCCCTGTGCAGCAACATTTATGCATATTAGTGCAACTCGTATGCTTATAAATTTAGTAAATTAACGAAAAGAAGTCTCTAGAATCTATTGTAAGCAGGTTCACTATTATAAAGAAAAATCTAGATGAATTTCATCTACTTGTGTATGTATAAAAGGTAGCTTCTATCAATCACCCCTCCTTGGTTTCCTTTAGGTAAGTTAATACAAAATCACAAACACGAATAGCACCATTTTTTTTTTTGAGACAGAAGTCCCCTATACTGTCACCCGAGGGTGACAGGTATTAAGAGACTGGTAATCTTTTTTTATTTTAGAAATCGCAGCTGCTAGGCATGGCCCTTTTAGTTGAAGCAGACGGGACCCGCCTTGTAGCCAAATCTCTGAGACCGTTCACCAAAGTCAAAGGCTGCAAAGTCCACGATGGGGAGCTGTTGCAACTTGGTCGAGTTGACGAGCAGGACTGTTTCTCCCTTGCTAGGTTTACCCTGGAAGTAATCATAGATAACAAAAGCTCAGACCAAGGAGTTTTAAAGCAGCAAGACTATAGGCACGCCTGGTAAAGTTGGTCCGAAACCAGTCTAATTCACAAGTGACAGTCAGTCGGTCATCAGAGTACAGAGACGACACTGGGCGTTGCCAGGATTTTTTCTTGAGGGGGGCAAAACACATGTTTTCCCCCAAATCCTTGTTCTTTCTCTAGCGAGTTCTCAATTTATCATTTTTCGAGGGTAGGGGGGGGGGGGGGGGGGCAAACATCCCCACTGACATCCCTGTGGACACCCATTTTGTTAAATGTGTATTACATTAATACCTATTAATGACTTCACACCTCTTTTTCTTTTTCTCCCTCTATTTTTTTGGGTGCTTTTCATGGGGGGGGGGGGCAAGCCACCCACTTTCTCCCCCCCCCCTCGCGACACCCATGCTCGGCTGGCACTTTGGGACCAGCAGTTCGGTAATTTCATTATCATAAGCCAGTTCTGTATTTCAACTGCGCATGTGCCCAACGATACGGGTCATTCGGGATAATCAAATACTCATGGAATTGAAGGCATATGAATGCATGAGGAGATGATAGCCTAACGCTTGCGCATTAATTACGAGCGGAATGGTCGTTCATGTAAAATCGCACAACATCACACAAGCAATTTTTTTACAGAATGACCTTTGACCTGGTCTCAATACTTCATCGAGACACCGAACTGGCTTACTGTTGATATACGCATGGATTTTGATGACTTCAAAAGGGTCATTCTTGCCAGGTTTATCATGTTTTTTTCTCGGAAAAATAAGATCAAGTAGTTCTAAACCACAAATGTGGGATTTGAAAAATGATTTATAGAACGTTGACAATATTTAGGAATCCATGGGTATTTCAGGAAATTTGAGACCACTTTCATTACATGGCTTGGTTTTTTAATTAACAAATTTTTGGCTCACACATTCCTATGCACACATACTGAAATTTGTATCCTTGTGGAGACATTTCTTTGTTCTCGTGTAGTTAAGTTTTCAAGTTTGAAAGTGTACTTTCAAAATGCTCTTATTTTAACCAAAATTATATTCCTTGGCTGAAATTTGGACTTAATATCCCCTTTCTAAAACTCTTCCATTTGCGATGCATCAACCCACCTTGGAAATTCCTAGTTTTTGAGTTGAAATTCATATATCTATTTTGTGAAAACCTTGTGAAGACGTATTCATCTATGGAAATTGCCCTTTGGAGACGTATGCAATCTTTTGTTCCCTATTGTGTGCATGTCTCCAGAGGGCACGGTGTACTAGATCAATTTGGTGGGACAATACAAAAATCTCTTCATTTGTTTAATTTGGTGACTTTTTGCTTACCTTGCATTCGTCTAGAAGGACCATCGGCTCAAAAGGAGTACCATACCCGAATTCATCCTCATTGGCTCCCTGCAGTTTGATGGCTTGGTCGAATGTCCCTTCCTCCGCGTCATACCAACCCACACTGCGGCTACACATGTAGGTGAAGTTCTGAATGGCGTGGGTGCTCAGCAGCCGCAAAAAGGTCAGCTGCACAGTGCTGATGCTGCTGTAGGTCAGCTGTATAACAATTTCAAAGACACATTTTCAGCATTTCAATTTTAAGGATTATGCTCATGGGGTTCCCAGCATGGGCGTCGCCAGGAGTTTTTCCAGAGGGCAGCAACGCACATTATTTCCCAAAATCCTTGAACTTTCTCAATTTATCATTTTTTTTTAGGGTGGGGGGTCATTGGCCCACCCCACCCCCATTGACACCCCTGTGGATGCCCATGTTGTTAAAAGTGCATTAGATTAACAGCAATATGACTTTGCACCTCCTTTTTTTTGGGGGGGGTGCTTTTCTAGGGGGGGGGGGGCCTCCTTGTCACCTCCTGATGACGCCCATGGTTCGCCGTACTTTATGAAATCAAAATTTCCGAAGTTTTCCCTTATGTTTCCTTGAAAAATTTCAAAAATTCCATGAGAAGGATGGTGTGAAGTTAAGAAGTGGTGTAGCACAGCTAAGTGGTATTGGAGACATGAGTAAGGCCACAAAAAAAAAGTCTCCGGTTTCTGGTATGGAGTTTGCCCAAAAAGTGGTGCGGCGACGCGGCTTTTTTTTTTTTTTAGCTGTTTTTTTTTGCTTCAAATGTCGGCTGATGACTGCAAATGGTGCCCGACTAAACTTAGTGCAAATATGTGGGAGTCCAGAGAGGCCACATAAAGCTTATTCTCGATCATAACCCCATCTAAAAACAAGTTAAACTGTGCAGCAGCAGGATTCCAGTCAAACCAGTGAGTTTGGCGGTTTTGAGACATCATCTTTTATTGAAAAAAAACCTTTTTCATTTTGCCGACGCGCATGGCTACGGCGACGCGCGCACATACCAGAAACCGGAGACTTTTTTGGGGGGGCCTAATGCCTGTAAATGGCAGGTCTTAGCTGTTGGATATCGAATGAATAAATTAATGAAAAATGCAATGATTTGAAACAGTTAAAAAATTGAAAAACTCCGGACATCTACAAGAAAAGTTTAAGATGTAAGTGCATGATTACAGACCTGCTCTAGAGATACAGAAGTATCCACAGAAATGTACACTATGAAATTGACTGGTAGGAATTAAACAATATTCCATATGGAAAAAAAATAATTCTGGGCTGAATATGGTTTGGTAACCACCCTTTTGCATACAATTTTTTTTTTACCATACCAAAGATTAACTTTGATTTTATAGAAATTAAAAAAAAATTCAGAGGAACACATACCGGACTTGCTTTAGTTTCACTGAACCAGGAGCCCGGCTTGCTTTTTCGGTAGCCACGCAACTACAAAGAGAAAGACAGATAGTGACAAATGAGGTACATATCCTGAACAATACAGTATTCACAAAAGATTGGTTAAAAATCATAGTCTATTTGTCTTCACCATGAAAACAACAAGACAGGACTCCTTGTACATAGAGGGCCTTTCACACTATGCACATTATCTGTGTGGGACCCCGGTCCAACATAATGGAGATTTCCCAAACCCTTTCACACTAACAAGAATCAAACATGGCTTCTACACAGGTCTGACACTCTACCCGGGGTAAAATCCAACCCTGGTCAGGACCAGGGTGGAGCGGCTCTACCCGGGTAGAAAATCCAAAATCTACCGTTAACTGTGTACACATCACTAGTGTGAGTGTGAACGGTCTGCCTTGCCTACCAATGTTGGATAGGACCTGGGCCCAATTTCACGGCGCTGCTAAGCACACAATTTTTTGCTAACAGAGCCTCCGTCTATTTTCCTGGAGACCGTAAGCATAAGCACAGCAAAAGGCACGCTTACTTCGGAGGGAAAATGTGCTTAACTTAGTGACATAACAATAGAAATCTCCATGCACGCGCGACCATTAGCACACACACACGCCGTGAAATAGTGCTTAAGGTTAGCAAATTTTTCTGCTATGCTAAACACAACTTTTCTGCTAATTGTTAAAGGTAGAGTCCATCATTTGCAGCCATCCAAAAAGTAACTGGCGTAATTATTGTTGAAAAACTAACTTGGTTGAAAGATAGTAAGGAGACTAAACTCCCTGTGAAATTATTCTTTCTGGGAAGCTGTCATTTTGAAGTAATCAACGAAAGAAGGCATTTCCAACGGTGATTCTTAAGAAGCACCGTAGGAAAATTTAAATTAGTAGTTCGTTTTGTTATTCAGCGCAGCGCGCACAAGTATTCGAACGACGCACACGCGCGCGCGGTTGTTATAATTCGTCGGATCAGTGCGCGACGTCGCGTATAGTTGCAATTCAAAACAATTCAAAACATGATTCAGCAACTTTTGATTTGAAATTGAGATCTTAGAATGCTGTTTTTCTCGGAATGTACAGCTGAAGCTTAGCTGAAACTTCATCAGGTTAGTTGCTCAGTATCCTTCATTAGATTTTGAACTCTTTTGTTGCTTCAAACGAACAAAATGCACAAATTACAAATGATGGACTCTACCTTTAAGCAGTGCCGTGAAATTGGGCCATGGGCCCAATTTCACGGCACTGCTTAACAATTAGCAGAAAAGATGTGCTTACTATAGCAGAAAATCGTGCTAGCCTTAAGCAAATGGCTCGGGTCACGTGCGCTTGGAGATTTCCATTGTTACGTCACTAAATTGAAGCACATTTTTCCTCTGAGGTAAGCCTGCCTTTCGCTGGGCTTACTGCTTACGTGCTAGCCTTAAGCAAATGGCTCGGGTCACGCGCGCTTGGAGATTTCCATTGTTACGTCACGAAATTTAAGCACATTTTTCCTCTGAGGTAAGCCTGCCTTTTGCTGTGCTTACTGCTTATGGTCTCCATGAAATATGCAGAGCCTCAGTAAACATAGAATCGTGTGCTTAGCAGCGCCGTTTCTTGGCTCTGCTTCAGTCAGACAACTTACGGTAAGCGTGTTTCACGTGTTAACGTGGAATTTTGGCTTATGCGCATGCATACATCCCATTACTAAGGTTTCTGCGCTTACAGGGTTAGCACAAAATTGTTCAGCTAGCGCCGTTCGTTAGCACAAAATGGTGATTGTAAGTGCGGAATTCTGTGGTAAGAAGAGTAATGCAATTGGACCCTGGTTGCACTTTTGAACCCATATTCATGTCAACATGGGTAGGCAAGACGAAAGTGCCAAAAAGCCTTTCATGGTTTTCCGATAGTTTGTGTAAAAGTTTAATAATTAGCCTCATTGATTAACTGACAGCTCTTTTCCGGATTGATTCTCTTTTTGTTTCAAAACAGTAAGTAAATTGCATCTCTATTGAGCAAGATTGCTGTTTGAAGTGCCAACAATGTAATAAATATGTGTAGTCGAGCAAGGAATTGTTGATATATGAGTGCATATTGATCACTACTTCACACCAGGTGGTTCATTTACTATTCAGAACTACTATTTCCACATTTTCAATAATAAATACATCAACAATATTGTGTGAGTGGAGAATAATCACAAAACCATGAAACTAATATTTGAAAATCAGGAGCCAAAAAAATAACACTAATAATAATAATAAAACAAATGAAATAAAATAAAAATAAAAAGTTATCAATTATTAAAGGGGGGTCCGCTCATAAGTTCGATGCCTTGTAGGTCCGAAATTTCGGACTTATGAGGCGTCGGACTTATGAGGCGTCGGACTTATGAGGCATAAAATGTATTTATTCTGCCTCATAGCTCCGACCCATCAAAAGTCCGAAACAGCGTTTGTGCATTGTCGGACTTATGAGGGTCAGACTTATGAGGCGTCGGGCCTATGAGGCGGAATTTATTCCTCGTAGGTCTGACGCCTCATAAGTCCAAAATTTCGGACTAATGAGGCATTGGACTTACGATACGGCACCATTAAAGGGACAACTTTTTGCTTATTAGTTTTCCATAAAGCGACTTCAATATCTGTTTTTATTTTGATTGGATTTCTCCTTATCTTCGATAAGAAAAGTTAAATCTTGCTTCAATAAGCGAAATGCATTATAAATCAAAAGTGACCAATGCTATGCACTTTCAAAATAACTTTATCATTTCCAAACAGTCTTGGGTAAAAATCTACTTCTATACTTGATCAACCAAATTCATGCACAAATGTAACAACCAAAGCTGACAAATTCAACATTCATCGCGAATGTAATGAAAGGTTGAAATGAGGGGGAAAAGCATGCCATCTTGATTTCTTTTTTTCCTTTAGTAATTTTTTTTGGGTTGTACCATATAAAATCAAAATGTAACATGAACGATGCAATATGGCATGCAAACAACTCAATTTTTTGATTGTGCACACGAAAAGTGAAAAATTTTCATTATGATTAAATTTTGTGGATATACCGAAGAGTCTAAATGACAAATACAACGACCGATATATGTGTTTACATGGAGTACATGTAATATTCGCTACACATTTCAATTTTCCCCCTCAAGATATTCATGGGAAAGAATGTTGCAACCTGACGCCACTTTCATCTCTGTATTACGGTCAGTCATTGCAAAAATGTTGAAAAGACATGTATCTGGGACTGAGAAACATTTCTACTTTTGTAAGGAAATACTTTGAAAATGTTCTTGACTCTCCATAGACTTTGTGCACAACCCCTGAAGTGGTGTCTGGATGCTACATTCTTTCCTATTCATGACTCACGAACAATTAATTAGTCCTGCCAAAATCTGGCACAATTCTTAATAATTTTTTTAAGATTAACTCATTTTAATCTAAAATATGCTTCAAATTGTATAACATGGTAGTGATTACAGGAAAACAAAACGAAAACAGAAGTCTAAATTTGTGTACCACATCTTCCAGGAGATAATCCTCAGACTTCAGCACAGATGGATTAGAATGCAGAGAGAGAGAGAGAGAGAAAAGACACAAGATACCAAGAAAAGGTTAACATTCCAAAGAAAAACAATATTATTAGCCAAGATGCAAATCACATGTAATGCAAGGAGGGGAAGGAGCAGGGGTATGTGTGCATTTTGCGCAAACGAGTGGGATGGGCAAAAAGCACCTTTTTTTTTTTTCTTAAAGAAAACAACTGCAACTTGAAACATACGGCCCTTGTATGGCAAAACAGTTTTAACTTGAAAAATGAGATTTTGAGAAAATTGAATTTAAAGTTTGAACGTTTTTTGACTGAGTTGGAAATGAATGCATACATGTTTAGATATACATTTCTTCAAATTTTGAGCGTATTGAAGGTTTGGAAATATAATCACAATTGTGAATTGACAGTCTATCTTAAGTTAGACTTAATGTTATGAGCTGTACTCAAAGCATGCATAAAAATGAACTGATCTTCCTTGTCAGCTTTATTGTCAGCTGGTATTGAGTTGCGAGTTGGGCTGCTTTGCCGTAAAAATCAAAGCCACGTACATGACCTTATTCAAAATTAAATCGAAAACTTAGGTGTGATAGGTCATGCTATCTCAGTAAAAACAACTCTCAGAAACAAAAACAGTTTCAGTTTTACTCATCTAAATGTGGCCAGATCAGAAGTAGTATTATCTCAAAACCCAAGTTTTCGAGTTAGGCTGTTTTGCCATCCGAGAGTTGCATATGTTGTCCTTCCTACAACCCTCAAAAATATCCGTTTACAATCTATAATGGTGTTGTAAAGTGATTTGGTACGTTGTCTGTGACGTATTACCGGGGAAAAATAGAGTACGGGTTGAAAATGTATTGTGGGAGGGGAGGAGGGGATTTAAGAAAAAGACAAAAAAAGGAAAGTGCAAAAACTGCAAATGGGCAGCATCTACTCATGGTTTAAAAGAGGCTAAATCTGGCAGGAGCAGGAGTTCGTCTAACTACATGTACCCCACCCTTGCTTGGACATTTTAATGGGATGCTGGGGGGTTGGAAATTGGAGAATACAATTGCAGCTTGATTATAAGGGGATATTTAGTCACAATCAAAGATGGGAATTAATTAGGGATTCAATTTAATTGGTTAATTGCTGTAAAACGAAAAGTAAGAAGTAAGTTAGCAATTGTCAAGATGCTGATGCAATCTTAGCATGCAAGAAAGAAATATATATCAGACAAGAATCAACAAATGTGCATCAACTTTATGCATAAGAAAATGTTGCCTCTTACTTTTTTCATCTGGGAATGTGACAGAATGAATAAGAAGGAAGGCACGTTATAATTGGAAAAATGTTGACAAAGTTTTTTTCATTGACAACGGGTATGCATTTGCAGAAAAGTTTCAACGTAAACATCTTTTGGATCAAGCAATTTACTTGAGCAGAGAGTGGTTGAACCAGTAACAGTTCATTTTGCAAACACAAAGCATGTTTCCCATAGTGCAGTCCAAAAGGACAATTCCTCAATTTTTTCTCTAATCAAAATCTGCATTTAATTCTTTGAATAAAAATCGCCATTAACATTGATTAGGAATGACTTATATTTTGAAGAGAAAAAAAAAACATCTCCATTCTCAGCTTTAGTCTGCTTTGTACCATTTGTTTGTGTACTGGCAGAATTATTTCAAAGTATATTTGTTGGCTTAAACTGTAACTAAAAACGCCAAGGCTTTGTCATTAAAATGAAAAAAAGTGGAGATGTGATTTACACACATCCGAAATCACATTCAAAGCCCAGAAGCTAGATGTGAATCAAAGTTGATCAATTAAGATGTAACTCTTTGCGTTAACAAGTCAATATCACATCAATCTATCTTGGGCTAATATAGCAAGCGGATGTTTCAGCTCAAGATGACCTCTGCTAGAGACAGAAAACCAGTAAATATGTCTAAGAATTTCACAGCACATTATTTTAGTTCAATCTAATCAAGGCAATGAATTCTATAGTCTGAGAATAATCCATTCCATGTCACAATTTTTCATTGAATTGTAAGCTTACAATGGGGTTAAGGGAAATAGACATGAGTTTGGGCAGTCTACTGATCAAAATTGTATCCACTTATATCCCTCTTGTATTTTCACTAGTGGGCAATTCCATAAAGTTGGACGTACATGTCAGACACTTTAATGAGCTGCTGTTGGGAAAGTGAGTGTGGTATACCACTAATAATGTGACATCTAATGAGTAGAAAACAATAACACACCAAAGTAAGGTAGCACCACCTTATCGACCTTGTACATGTACATCATGTGGTCGGACGCACGTTGGACCTTAAGGTATTGCCCTACTACAGGGTGAGTCAACAAAAGCGGAACCCAAAGAAATGCATTTCATATTTAAAAAAGTATGTAGCACCAAAAATATTTATGACTTGGAAGCCCATTTATTAAACTACTTTTCAGTGAGAAAATTATTTCAATTGTTCTAAACGTTAAGATGTTATCATTATTTAAACGAAGTAACCCTAAAATCAGTTTCTTCCAAAAAAAGCAATATATTGTGTGTTCTGACTTTTTGGAACAACAAAGAAAATGACACAGAATACTTGTTTCAACAACTGCAGAACACAATATCTTTGTTGACAACCCTGCTTGGGCTATCAAATATAATCCACTGTTTTAGGGACGCCAACTTTAAAAGGACTTTGTTGAATATTTTTAACTTTTAAACTGAGGTTTTATCGCTGGTGACGTTGGAAGACAATTTTAACGACAATTGTTGAAATCGCATTTGTTGGACGAAACAGATATTAGGGTCATTTCGTTTAAATGGTGATATAATTTGAACGGATTGAGCAATTTAAGTATTTTTTTTTCATCTAAAAGTAGTATATTAAATTGGCTTACCAGTTTTTGGTGTTACATATTTTTTTAAATATGAATTATATTTCTTTGGGTTTGGGTTTTCATTTTTGACTCACCCTGTTCATCCTATCTGGTGAGATTTCTTGCCTTGTTTAATATAATCCTATCCTACATACCTCATCGCCTTGTTGGTCCGGATAGATGCAGGTTTCTCCTTCAGCGGTCATGTTGCAGAAGACCTCCAGTGCATCCTTTGTGCAGCCCTGGTTGGGATCCACCCAGTAATGACCTGCAGAACAATCAGTCAAACAGAACGGATATTATTCTCAGTTGGGGGGAAGCGCAGATACCGACGCATCCTCTTGCTGTCCAGGCTCAGGCTTTTCATTAAAATAACCTTTATAAATCGTAACGTCAGTGCAACAAGGTCGTAACTCCATTTTGCAACAAAGTCATATCTCCCGCGAATACACTCCATGCAACATGGTCGTATCTCGACGACCACTATGACTTCATGTGTACATCCGAGTTATTTTAAGTGAGATACAACCTTTTGTCATTCTGAAACTCGCGTTTCATGTACGGCCCACTTTAGGAGATATGACTTTGTTGCATGGACACATTGAAATGTCTTCAGAGACAAAAAAAATCACAAATAAGAGGCTTTATTTTTTTTGGGGGGGGGGATGCCAATTTCAATATTGGAATCTACCAAAAAAAAACATATTGGCTTTTACCCTTTTGACTTCTGCGAATGTTGTAATCAAGTGTGTCACAAGTCCTGCACAAGAACATCACAAGTCCATTACTGACGTATTTGTGATAAAATAATACAAACTTTGATTATAGATCAAGCAATCCTAATGGTCCAAAGAGGGAGGTCAGCAGCTTGTTGTCAAAGTTCAATTATTTGAACTCTGTAGCGATGTGGCCAGCGTCTTTTGGCAACAAGTTGTTTGCAAAATGATTGCGCATCAATTTTTTATTCGTGCGATCATTGGCCGACTGACTATTTAAACTGGCCTATTAGCAGTTAAAGGCAATATACAACATTTGCAAACATAAAAAAAGTACCACATTATCATGAAGTACCTTACTGCACTGTTAGTGAATAGTCTCAAACATCCTGTGAAATCATAGCAACTGTTGTGAAGCCATTTTAAAGAAAAGTGGAATATTTTTATCAATTTCCAACAATGGTCGGCTTGGAAAAAAAATGCCTTTTTTTTCATACTGCCCCCAACTTACCAAATTTAGTTAGTCCACATTTTGTTTGCAATCGGTTACACATGCACACTGTGCAAGCCTTTTAGTCTGATTCCCTGACCCGACAATCTCTAAACTGCTCCGTTTCATCTGAAGTAGGGTCGGGGACCAGACTACAAGAACAACATTTTTTGTCTTGGTTTTCCCAGCATTTATGAACACAGAACTGTAGACAGGTTAGTGTATCAACATTTGCTATAAAATGCTAACCCCCCAAATCCATCCAGTTTTGAAAATTACAGCAAAAGCAAATGTTGTATATTCCCTTAAGGTTTGAAAATCCTGATTGTTGTGGACCTACCATCTTTGAAGTCCTTGTGGCTGAGATAGAGGTCCTTGCAGGTTCTGGCCGGGTTCTTGATGGAACCGATAGGGTTCTTCATCTGTTCCATCTCCTCCTTCAGAGCGCGAAGGGAAGTGAACAACTGCACCAAGGCTTCCATGTAGGCCTATCAACAGACAAACAGGATACAACAATGCTGAAAACTAAAGGTGTGCTTTTGCGGGTGATTTTTGGAGCTGGGGTGAGCTGGGTACCTTTGGCTGTTGGGGAGTGGCGGTTCTACAGGGGGGGGGGGGCTACAGGGGGCTTTAGCCACCCCCCAAATGTCTAGCCACCCCCCAAATGTCTAGCTCCCCCCCCCCAAAAAAAAATCCATAAAAAAAAAATTGGACTAGCAAAATGTAAGAATTTGACGTACATGGGAACGTTCTCCCCCTAAATGAGAAGGGTGCATTTGTACACTTAATATAGTGTGCCTGATTGTCGGATTTTATCAGCGCCCACCATTGAAAATATGGCACTAGCCCCCCCCCCCCCCCCTTATTGTAGTGTTAAACATCATGTTTGTAGCTACTGTATCCCACTATTATGCCCACTCATAAATAGTTTTATGATCAAATACCATAAAATGTTGAAAAGTACACAAACTTTCACGATTTTGTTAGATGCCATTTTACTCCATGCGCGTCATGCACCACAGTGTTCTCAACATTCCCTTATATAAAGATTCTATCAGCTGTTCTCAAGTTGTTCTCAAAGACAAGAGGGTTTAGCGTTTTTAGACTTCACCAGGAGGCGAGGCCAAGGCAATCGAGAACCTTCTAACCCGTCAGCCATGCCCGTGTATAAAAACAGCCAGTGCGTGTTATCGCGTCCTCCGACGCGAACTGGTTAACAGAATGAAAAAAAAAATTAAAATCAGGCAGTTGCAGAAGGACTTACACCCCTATATTTTAGACTGATGGTCAACGCAACCAAAATTTGGCTCAGCTTTCCACCCACTCTCCCTGTAACACACAACTTACTTCTGGTAACTCTCCATAATCAAAGTAGAAGTAGTCCTCCGCATTCTCTGGGATCTGATTGTCTTCAAAGTCTTTGTCAGGTTCCGTGTCGGCATCCATGCCAGCGAAAGGATCGTCGCCAGCGGCCCTCCTTCTTCGTTTAACTGAGCCCTCATAGCTACTACCACTGCTGCTGGCCTCCCCACCACCCCCGCCACCACCACCGGGCGCTTGGGTGAACGGGGCGTAGGTCCCTCCTGGGAAATCCGGGGAGAAGTTGGGGTAGAGGTCTGGACGGATATTCAGGATGCCCTGGTCCAGTAAAGCTTGCAGGTACTGAGCGGACAGAGATGTGTTTTGTTTAATTTCAGAACTTTTCTGAGCCAAAAAAAAATCAACGATAGCCAAACATCTTCTGGCAATTGTCGGAGTTTGTTTACGCAAACATGATCTGTTTAGTTTCATTGTAAATCCAGCATCTTATACCTGACAATGCATGTATTCTTGAAACTGCACAAAAATGATATTTTGTGACTTATCAACAAATAAAATCATACAGCACCATGATTTGTCAGATAGCAATGGGCTCAAAGTGGCATGAACAAATAGTGTACATCATAAACAAGCAAACACAAATTGTCTACTAAAGTTTGATTTCAAAAAGTTAAAAAAAAAATTATTTGAATTAAATTAGATTGGGGGGTTTTCCTTTTCTTTTTTTCTGGAAGAAGTGAAGTTCGACTCAAAGCTCAATTGATTACTTACTGCTGCACTTGCTTCTGGTCCCTAAAACAACAAAGGAAATGAGAACAGATATTGGCAAATTGTCAATTGCCACACGAAATAGCAAAGCTTGAATACTAATAAGGGAATAAATATGTGCTTGGCCAGTTTTTAAACAAGCACGTTTAAAAACGAGATAGGGGCCTGGTCACCGATAATGATAATGATAAAACATTTTAATACCGGTCAAGCACATCGATTTTGACAAGATTTATATCCTACTTCAGGTGTCGATTGCTTAAAACAAGGTTTTGGGGGACATTCCTACTTTTGCCTCAGCAGGTCACATATTTATTCCCATTCACAAATACCTGTCAGTCAAAAAGTCAAAACAAGTAAAATATTCACAAGTTTCCAGTGATTTTGTTCAACAATTTACGTCATGTTTTGTTAAACAACCCTCTGGCCATGTTATGGTATGTGCCTCGCGCCTGTAGTGCTAAAAATCTCCTAATATGGAAATTAGCGCTGCTTTGCGATGTGGCGCAAAACGCAGGAACTGTGTTTAAAACCAGCCGGGGTTTTATCAGTGGTTTGAAACGTCCCATGAGATGGGCGCTTGACCAATAGCAATGGGTAAACTGCTTCAGGTATTTATGAATGATTATTAAAAGTACAGTTTCCAGTACTTTCATTTGACTCTGAACATGAAATTGGAAAAAATATAACTGTTTGTATCAAAGCCTTCACTCTATGTGGTTCTTGGTCCCATATTTAACTGTCTGTCTGTCTATCTGTCTGAATGTCGATTTGTTCGTCTATTTCATGAAATCATGATATATTTTCCTCAACTAAAAATTATGCTTTAATCAAAACCTTTAAAGGCTGTGACTGAAAAAGAAAATCATCAAATAATTAAACAAGATCTTGGTCCTTTTTACAAAAAATGAAATCCTTTAATGGTAAATTTTTGTTCACTTATATACTTACTGGAGGTCCAGGCGGTCCCTGATAAAAAAAAAAGAAACGGGAAAAAAAATGTAAGAATCAATTAAATGACAGTGAAACATTTCGCCTTGCTCAGAATGAAGGCAGGAAACAGCTATCGTGTCAATGAATAATCGTTAAAATACTGTAAAATATTGGTTAAAATACTGTAAAATAATTGCTAACACGACCCTTCCCTTCCACTGGGCTGGCTACTGGCCTGAAGTTGTCGTATATACATTTCTACATGTACAGGGTACTTCACACCATACAGCGTGTCTCAAAAAATGTAGCAGTAAAACAACATTTATTTTCTGAGGAAACTAAAATCGTTTCGTTGGGTAAAAAAATTTACCATGAGGTGATAGAGTGTTTCTTTACCGTTGACAGGATTTTTGTGCGATATTTAAACCTTTTGTTTAAAAGTTACAGCAAAGCTTGTAAACATTGTCAAAATCTGTTTGGGCCACTTTTCAGATTATCTGGTATCTAATGAAAGGCATTCACCCACCTTCTTGGTATGTGAATGCCTTTCATTAGATAGCAGATAATTTGAAAAGTGGTCCAACTTGGAACTCAAGTCCTTTCATTTAATCAGCTCTATCTCTGGACTGAGATGGCCAAATGAGATGGGATAGAGACCATTGTGTAGAGTATTTACTATACCTTCAGATTCAATAGATAAGTTTTGCAAAAATACAGTGCTGTTATTTTTAATATTGATGGATTGACTGCTACATTTCCATTGACACACACTGTATGCACATCCTTTACGTTACATACCAAGTGTGGACATTCCATTGCTTTCGTGTAGTTAAGAAAAACCAGTGCAAAAAACTCATTTTTCTCAAACTGTGAAAACTCTTTCAACCCAATTTTTTTTCTATGATCCCCTTTAGTGTTTCTCTTCATTTTGCCACAGATACACCTAACCCAAAAATGCCTCTAAACCTGTTTTCCAGAAATGGGGAAACACTGTGTGGACTTGCCCAAGTCCACACAACGTCGCCTCTACCTGGTTTATGTGAGTGGACCTCTTTTGTTCGGAAGTCCACACAGTGAATGTAATGCCTACCCAAAAAACCAGTGGGCACAGGCAGTATATCCCTCCAACTGGAGCTTTCATGAACGGTGGCACAGCATCCACTGTTCATGCCCAGAACCCATACAGGAATGCTAATTTGTAATATGTCATTCAGCTATTTTGTATTCTAATGTGTGATAAGTGCGATATTAACTTACCGCTGGTCCAAGATCTCCCTTGATGCCAGAGTCACCACGCAGGCCCTGGGGGCCAGGGGGTCCCGGGACACCCTGTGCATAGTTAAGAAATTACAAATTTAAGACAAATAGACACTTGCACATTAATAACTTCTTAATATTGAAAATAATTCCCCTCAATTTAAACTTGTTTTTATATTTCTTGTTAGTTGCAGGTCCCAATAAGCCATTTGCGAGTGACCTATACACTTTGAGATTTAAATTTGAAAAAAGTCTGTTACAATGACTTGCTCAGAAAGCTTGGCACATTTTAACTGTGAATTCTCAAGACCAAAGACCTGTTGCTAATCACAGGATTTGGGGCTAGCTCTTCCATAGTTACGTAAGAGACGCTCAGCACCAATACATTGCCAACAATGGGTGAGAATGGCACAAAGACACCAGACCATGCCGGAGCTGGGGGTTGCTAGCATAAGGCTTGCCCTGAATCACGTGACATAGTAACAGTCTCTTAGGTTGGGAGAATGCAAAGTAAACACGTGCAAAGCATTGGATTAAGTCAGCGTTCCATATTTTATTCAAATTTAACTCACAAATGGCTTATTGTCTCCAATTGACTGTAAGTTATTTTTTATGTACAAGTTAGTACAAGAGAGAAGTATTCACTAGAAATTTGAATAAAAACTATTTATTGCATACTCAGCAAGTTGCTCTTTGGGTCTACTTATTCTGAATCCAATGTTCCTTCTTTTTTATCTGGCACTGCAAAAATGCTGCACATTTTGACAGCTGCTGTGCTCGAACTCAATACCATTTGTCATAATATAAACACATTTTTCTACCACTTGCAGGGGTGAGATTGTGGGAAAATGAGACATGTATCCATAAACTATGCAGCAGGGGATTTGGGGGCTGCTGAGGGCCCCAACGCAACATGTCTATGATGTATGTTTATACTTGCCTAAAGGCACCTCTTAAAATACCCATTTTTTTGTTCTTCTTCTTCTTATGTACTTGTCTTATTATAATTGATTATTTCTGGTAATGAAACCAAGGATTCCACTAAAGCACCCTAGGCACTGTAGCTCGCAGGCCTGAAGAAACTTGTAGAGAGAATTAAGACAATGAGAAGAAATTTCAGTTTTAGATGTGGGAGGAAAACCCCAGAAGAGCATTCTGAGGAAAACCCATGGAATCAGGTAGGCACTGAAAACCCAATCCACATATTGGCCCCGGTGGGATTCGACCCAGGTCACAGCAGTGGAAGGTGAGGAAAGTACCACAACGCCAATCTGACTCCCCACCTTAACGGTAAAAAGTCAGGAATTCCAGATTTCAAAACCAATTCTTTAAAAAATTCTGAAATCAGAAAGGAGAAAAATATCTTGGAATCAGGAAACATCCTAACTAATCTCACCCCTCCGCTTGGTTTCCATGCGTAACACTTACCCGCACACCAGGGGGGCCTTCTGGTCCCATTGGTCCCTGAGGTCCTTCAATACCCTACATTCAAAAATAGAAATAAACTGTAATTATTCAAACGTTCAAATTTTGAGTAGTAAACAACCAGACACATCCAACTGGCAGTACTTTATTCAATAACCAGACAGTCTGGTTACCTGACCAAGATCCCTTCAGATGAAACAAAGCAATATGTAGACGTCGGAGAATTGTCTGGTCAGGGAACCAGACTAACAGGCTTGCACCCATTCATGGATGTGTAAACAAAATGTTGACTAACTAAATTTGGTAAATTGGGAACAGTAGTTGAGAAAAAAATTAGTATTTTCCAATGATGGTCGGCCGACCATCGTTTGGAAATTGATAACAAATATGTCACTTTTCTTGACAATGACAGCACACCAGGTGCCATGATTACACAGGATGCATGAGACTATCATTCACTGACAGTCAAGTAAGGTATATCATTATTTGGTAGTTTTATTTTTGATGTTTGTAAATGTTTTATATTAATTTAACAAATTAACTAACCTGTTCACCCTTTGGTCCACGAGGGCCTGGATCACCAACATCTCCCTTGTCTCCCTTCTCGCCAATTTCTCCAATCTCGCCGGTCAATCCCATCAGACCAAGATCACCCTACGGAGAACAAAAAGTTTAGCAAATTATCCTCATCATGGGTTCTGTGCACAAGTACCCCCTCAACGGTACGGAAGGGAGAGTTGAGAGAGACCACTTGGATTGACATTCAAACGCATTGCCGGCGACGCCTGATGCTCATGTGAAGACGCTACTGCTTTGTGCACATTCGGAATACAATTAGTTCATGCCACTTCACTCCATACATGCAGGAATCAGTATGCGCGTACACGGTGTGTCTGTGGGGCTCTCGAATGTGGCCAAATAATAACAATATTTACTATTACAAAACAAAACTCCTTCCATGTAAAACAACTCAAAGTGCTGTACAAGCATTGGAATAATAAAAAAAACCTTAAAAATTAAACATACACAGAATTATCTTCATGTAAAAGATAAAAAAACATATAAAAACACATTCAATTAAAATAATTTTCTATAAAAGCAATTTTGGTTTTTCCCTTCACCAACATAATTTCATAAGCACTGTAAACTTAGTGCTGTCTGATAAGGGCATGCAAAAGATTTCACAAGGTTACTAGAATTTCATCTAATTCTTGAAAGAAATTCTAAATTCTTTTTAAAAATTTGTTGACTGCGTTAAAATTTGGACTTACCTTAGGTCCGACTGGGCCTGGATCACCTGTAAATCCTCGTGGGCCTTCAGGACCCTGTCAACATAAGGAAAGAAACATCATGAATATAATGAGCATCATGAATATAATGAACATCAGGTATTAAACCGGGTAGGGGCCTGGTCGACTATAATTGCCCGAGTCGAAGGAAACAAATGTTGAGTGATATCGTAAAAAAGCCGAAGGAAACATACGTTGTAAGGTGTCATAAAAACATGGGCGTGGATCGGTGGGGGACGGGGGGAGGGACCCCACTTTTTAAAGTGAGGGGGATATCATATCGTTAGGTCCCTTCCCATCCCATTCTTTTCGTCCTTGAATAAAAATTGAAGTATAAATTTCGATTCTATCACTTAGAATAGCTGATTCAATGACTCATACTCGAAAATGATGTTTAAATTACGATCTTTTGCTAAAAACAAATTGGTTACAAGTGGTCCGAAATTGCCTCACATTGCACCATGGAGCATAGAGAATGCACAATTTTCTGGGGCCCTTAATAAGCAGGCCCCGGACCCCACGCCATTAGGGCTTCGCATTAGTTATGATCAAGGTATGTCCCCCGCCCAACTTTTGAGAAGCGATTGACGCCCTTGCGTAACAAATTGTAACATGTTCATGTACGTGCCTAGTGCCTACTTGTACTGACAGTGCAAAGAGCGGCAAGAGGTCTGACATAAATCTTGTTATAAGCCCCGGTTTTCGCGACTGATGTTATTTTGCTAGCAACAAGACCGGCCAGTCGTCGTTGCAGAAATTAGTTTCAGATACAAGGCTTTCATCTGATGCTGCCATTTTGGATAAGTAACAGTTCCGATATCTAAGCCTGTTGCGACTTTAATATTGCAAGAGCGCCACCATGCGAGCAAATGCAGCAAACCGACATAGCAACCGCAGGAATCGGAAGGTGTTGGGCTGGTTACGAATGAACGATCTCAACCATGTCGATCGCTACCAAGATCGCTACCTAAGGTTAGATTGCTATCAAGATCGCAACCGTGATCGCAACCCGTGATCGCAATCAGGATAGCAAACCACCTAACCAATTAGTTAGATCAGTCTCTCCACTGGCCTAATTTTCCCCACTTGTTATGCCATGACTGACGATGATGGGACAGTTGAAATAAACCAGGGTTCCCGCCTGCCAGTGCTCACAGAACACACAACCTAAGGACTCCCCTTGTGTCCTTATTTTTCCTTTTCAAAGCCTATTCATACAAGTACACGATGCGGAACAACGAAATGGTCGATATAATGGTTGCGGATAGCTCAACAAAATGTAAACGTATCTGTTCGGTTGCAAAACTAGTATCTTTAACATTGGAGTAGCAGTGACTTACCATCGGACCCATGGGTCCCCCTAGGCCTTGAGGTCCCTGCTCACCTGGGTCACCCTAGGAGGAAGAAACAAAAGAACTATCAGCTCTGCTCCATGTAAACATTAAACTCAGAGGAAACCTGACCTCACATCACACGTGTGCATGATGGCAGGAACATCCTCAGAGATTCTGATATCTGATTGGTTGCTTTGTGCCATGACGATGCCACCTTACCTGTAGTGTGATTGGTCTATTTTTCCAATCACAAGAATAGTGCAGCACTTGGTGCAAGTTCGATCTGGGACCATCAGTCCACTAGTGGATAACTTGTGACATAACTTACACTTACGTGCAAATATCTCTGGGTAAACGATGGTCAAAACATCATCACGAAGCTTCTCAGTCCTCATTCCGTGTTATACATTATGATGCACGCAGCTTTTGTAACCTGCTATATATATGCGACCAACCTCGTATGCTGGTTGCAAATATTGGAATAGACAACTCCGACCATTGTTGACTAACCAGCGTTTGATCAGAGTTAGTCCAACTATGGTTAATACAGTCCCTGGTCTAACTTGGTCCTATTTGTAAGGGCTCGGATATTTCAATGAAGTTGACCTCTAGATTATAGGTCGTAAGGCCAACGACGTGCTGGTAGATCTCAGATTCCAAATCACAGTTTGACACATTAAAAGATTTTGAGACTGTCTTCAAACTACGTCGGCATAAACATGTGAATATGCATCAGCAACAACACAGTGCAACAATATCTGAATAACTATCACCAAAGCTGTTTCAAAACATAATCTGATAATTACAATGATCAGTATCCGACAGAAAAAAATGGATGTAAAGACATGAAAGAAAATCAGTCTCAACAAAAAAACATCTCTATAAAGACCCAGACTTGGGAACAATAAATTCAGACTAGCGTTCAGATTCACGCAGAATTAAAATATTTGGAAGGGTTGAATAAAATTACATGAAAAGTTTGAAAGAATGAGAACCAACTATGCCAAAATATTAACAGTCATTGGGAACAACTTTTAAATATAGCCAACGCAAGATTATCACGTAAAGTAAGTTACTCTGTTGGGGTCGACCAGATGGGTCGCTGCTAATACTGTTTGGTTTGGTGCATTTTGAAACACCAGTCTCAAAATGGGTGTTAGATGATTTAGGCACAACAGAACACTTTTCCTTCAAATTAATTTTTTTTTTGATTTAATATTTGTGGGTTTAGGAACAAAGAATGAGACCACTCAAGAAGTTAGTGAACATGTACTACTTCTGTAATGTGACATGACCTATTGAACTATGGTCCATTGAGGGCGCTTTAACAGATGCTACATCTCTCCCTTCTTTTTAGATAAATGCAATGTGTAACAATCATACATGAAGGACCAAAATGTAGATTCCAAGTATAATATAATAAATAGAATGATTAAACATTCACATATCAGAAAATGCATATGAGAAAACTTAAACAAGCAAGCTTTGCAGTCTCTGCTGATTGAACCCAGAAATGCAATTATGTGCTTTATGGTGGTTATTAATCAATTTCACATTAATCTTCAAATGTTAGGAAAATATACAGAAGAATTGTTGCATTTGAATCATTTGGAAACTCTATTAAACCAGATTCAAACTGAGTATTAACTTTAAAAGAGTTTTCTTTTGTTTTCTTTCTGTGGAGTTATAGATCTGTAGCTTTAAGAATCACTATAAAAGTTAAGTATTCTTCGGTAATGTGACAAGACCTATTGAACTATGCAGAATGGTCGAATGAGACACTATTACAGGTGCTACATTGGACATTGTTAATTATTGCCAATTAATAAAGAAAGATATAGCAACTTACCTCCGGTCCTGGTAGGCCCCTGAGACCCTGTGGGCCTTGTGGTCCTGGTGCACCCTAGAAAAGAAGCCCCAAAACACGGTGAAAGGATTTCTTACATTATTGACTAACAAGTTATATTTGCACTGAGGAGACTCAGAAAACTGAATAAACAAAGAAGAAATCAGCTGATACGAGGAGGAGTTGCATGCCTGAAATTGGGCAAGAGATCGCAATAGTGATTCAATGAAAGGCTTTTTGATAATAATAATAATAATACTTATAATAATAATAATGGAGTCTTATATAGCGCACGTATCTACCAACAATTAGGTACTCAAGGCGCTGGAAATTATGTCTATTATTAAAGAAAGGTAAATGAGGAATATGAGAAATATGAGACCCATTATGTAGCACCTAATAATGGTTTACAAGGTGATGCGGCGCATATTGCAGCCACTGCCAGAAACACCGGGGCAAACCCCTTCTCTTAGTGATAAGTGTCACTGGGTTCTTTAATGTGCATTACACAACACACGGGACCTACGGCCTTACATCCCATCCGAAGGACGAAGCAATAGTGGTAAAGTGCTTTGCTTAAGAGCACAATTAAGCACCGTGTTCCCACGGTCAGGATTCGAACCCATGTACCACGGCACACGAATCAAACACCGTAACCATTGCCCAATAGTTAGGTTGTCAATGACTTCAAATAAAAGACATCTCAAAGGATTTTATAAGAAGGCTGAGGTAATGCCAAGCAAAGGTGGCATTTGTTGTACTTACCGGAGCACCAGGAGGTCCAATATCCCCTCGTATACCCGGTGGTCCTAAGTCTCCAGTGTCTCCCTTAGGGCCTGGTTCACCAGGTGCACCATTCAAACCTGGCTTGCCCTGTGACAAACATCAATAACAACACATCACATCAATAACAACACATCACATCAATAACAACACATCACATCAATAAAAACAACAATCTAAATATCAATGTTCACAAGTTCTCTAATTCAATCCCAATTCCTTTTTTATTATTAAAAAGAAATCAATGTTTTTTTAGCTTTATGCTGCTTCTTCTTTTTTTGTGTGATAACTTTTTGATAAAATTACCGTTATAAATTGTACCTGCTTGGCACTTTCACTCTGTTTAACTGTTTTAAGGCACGAAGCCAAAGGGAAAGCGAATTGGTGACGTCACAGGAAGTTTATTTTCGCACAACAAATTCACAAAAATTTAACACATTTCAACCCTGGCGAATTTCGCAGCGAATGTTTAGGACGTAAAAGTTGCTTGCACATTTGCCATTGTGTGAAGTATGAACAGGGAACAGGCTATTTAAAAAAAATAATACAACCTTTTAAATTAAAATAAAAATTTGAAATTCTTACCGGCTTTCCTCTGGGGCCAGGACGTCCAATATCACCCGGAGGACCTTGAGGTCCCTAAAAAGAAAAATCCATCAGGTTAAATAAAGGAAGCAGTCATGATCAGATATACATTTATTTGGTACCATTTGGAAACTCTGGCTTTGACAAATGTATACCCTGTTGTACTGAAACATCACATTCACAAAGGTGGAAACCAATTTATAATGGCGTTAGATTACTTTTCTGAGAGATATATTTACATCAATTTGAGTAATAAAACTAACATTTGAACACGTAGCTCTACACTCTATGTATTTTCAATAATAAAACAAATTATTATCTCATTACAAGATAAGCGAATCACCCACAATTAACATTCTCAATACATTTATAGATAGCAGATGTTGTTTTCCAGCCAGACACCCTGAAGACCACTTTGTTTCAATAGAGAGGTTTTGCAAAGAACATTTACGGTTAGAACACTTAATAATAATAATAATAATAATAATAACTGTATTTATATAGCGCTTTTTGCCAGAGGATACAAAGCGCTAGGGGAGAATGCAACCAAAGCCAGGTATATGAAGTATATGAACATATGAGACCCATTATGAAGCACCTTTTTGCTAGGTGCTGCGGCGCATAATTGCTGCCACTGCCAGAAACACCGGGGCAAACCCCTTCTCTTAGCGACAAGTGTTACTGGGTTCTTTAACGTGCATTACACAACACACGGGACCTACGGCTTTACGTCCCATCCGAAGGACGAAGCAATAATGGTAAAGTGCCTTGCTCAAGAGCACAAGCACCATGTTCCCACGGTCAGGACTCGAACCCGTGTACCACGGCACACGAGTCGAACACCGTAACCATTGGACCACAGCGCCCCGTAATAGGTCATCAGTTTGTTGTACACAACTCGCTCTCTGCTATACGCACACATACTGGAATTTGTATCCTTGTGGAGACATTTCTTTGTTCTCATGTACTAAAATTTTAGAGTTTGAAAGTGTAGTTTCAAAATGCTCCTATTTTAACCAGAATTAATTTCCTGGGCTGAAATTTGGACTTAATATCCCTTGCATAAAATACTTCAATTTGTGATGGATTCCTACTTTTTGAGTAAAATCCATATATCTATTTCGTGATAACCTTGTAGAGACGTATTCATCTATAGAAATTGCCCTGTGGAGACGTATACAATCTTGTGTTCCATATTATATCCATGTCTCCACAGGGTACTGTGTACCAGATCATGCACACGGCACATAAACATCGCACACCACGCATCAGTGTGATATGCGTGCTAAACTGTAACTTTTGTCTCTCTCTGTTAATTTTTTTTAACCATAAATCATTTGATTGAAAGAGCATGAATGGCTGAACAGGTATGTGCAATAGACTTTGTTTCAAAAGAGCATTTACTGCAAATAGAAGTTTTCATCACCGGATGCCATTTTGGATTTCTACTGCAATTCGTAAAAGTTTCCGTGTATGTGTACGCATACACAATGCAAAATAACAGAATGGCCGGTTTACAGTAACGGATTGTTAAATGTATGCGCATGTGCATCTGTTTGCATGCTAACACCTTTCTATTCTCAGCTCATGAATTGGTTAACTGTTCTGAACAACTACTTACGGGTCGTCCTGGGTCACCATCCTCGCCGTCTTCCCCTGCGTCACCTGGTCTACCCTGCAAGAATGAACAAGTGCGAGTGCACAATAAGCTCTGGCCGTCTTACATGAAAGTCTTGCATGAAATCTACGCTGTTTTACACAGACCCATGTGAACAGCGACCTCTATAGTCACATTGGTGTGTAGCTTGGGAGTTCCCCTTTCATATGCAACACCATACTTTAGATGTTATACCTAGATTTATAGCGACTTGCGATATAAAATACCATGTGACGATAACATTACTGCACATATTTTGCCTCCATTTACAAACTTTTCATGAAATCTTTCCCAATTGATACCAAACAATTATTTCAATTATTTTGTTTGCATTTTGGTACGGCCAACTTTAGACAAATTTTTAGTAATAAATTTCCAAAAAGCAGACAACTTACAGGAGTTCCAGCTTGGCCAGGTTCTCCATTTTCACCAGGGAAACCAATGGGACCCTGTAAATAAAGAAAGGAACAATATAAAATAGTTGTTTAAATGATTTACAAAACTTTGTCTTGTTTGTAGTGAGGCTGATTTTAAGTATACTTCAAGTGAATAAGCAAGATATCACATGCAAGATATCACGTGCAACCATAGTGAAATCACAATAACGTCGTGTCCGTGCAACAAGGTCGTATCTCCTGAAATAGCGTTTACGTGAAACGCGAGTTTTAGAACGTCAAAAGGTTTGATTCTGCTTAAGATACTTCGCTCTTCTGTTAACATTTCCAAGAACAATGTTTTGTACACAAAAATTGGGAGCCAAGGCTGATGTTTGGTACAGCCGCATGTTCGGTATAGTGGTATTCGGTATAGCCACTGTACTAGGTTTTCCCCTTCACCGACGCATAAACACTGTATACTCAGTGTGTTACCTCCCGAGTGAAAATTGGAACAAAATCACTCGGTTGGGACTCAAACCTCCGACCTCCTGCTCTCTAGTGCAGATGTCTTACCACTTGACCACCGAGCTAACGGGATCGGTTGGCTGGTATGAATCTGATGTCCATTCAGAATGCAATTAAACTATACCTAAGATGACGGGCAAAACCTAATATTGATTTACATCACCCCAACGCAAATTCCATCTTAGAAATGACTTACCGGGTTGCCTTTGGGTCCCTGGGGTCCTTCGGGGCCAGGAGGGCCGATGGGGCCAGGGAAACCGGGACTGCCTGCTTCTCCTTTGCTGCCTGAGTCACCTTTAGAACCCTGACAGAATCCAAAAAAACATACTCAGTTGAAAGACGTTTTCTTCGACATTTCTTGCTGATTTACTTTGGGCACTTGGGAAAACCTTAACTTTGTGTGAAGACTTGATCTCACTCACAGAAGTCTGCTCAACTCACATGAGAGGTCATTCTTAACCAACCTCGTTCCCCATGGGTACCACCTTGCTGCACCATGTTGGTTCCCATCATGCCTTGCGCGATCTTAACCCCTGGTATTTTGTAATATAAATATCCCACTGTTTGGGAGATCGAAATTAGGACTGCAGTCAATGTGTTTAATGCCTGACGCAGTGTTTTCAATTTTAAAAGTTTTTTTGGGGGGGTAGAATCAATCCTTTTAAAGATGAGATTTCGACATCACGTTATAGAGCAAGGATTTATATTATATGTGCATACCTCTGTCTTCCCACTATTTGGGAGATGTAAATTAGGACTGCTGTGGATGTGTTTAACGCGCCACACAGTGCTTTCAAGTTTAAAAGACTTTTTTTTGCTGTAGAATCCACCTTTCCAAGATAAGATTTCAACGTTGCGTTATAGAGCAAGGATTTAAATTAAATGTGCATACCCGGTACCTCTGTCATTCCTTTTACAAAACAAGATATGTTTGGGCAAAAACCAAGGTTTGCAGATTTATATCGTACAGGCAACTTGCCGTCTGGAAAAAATGTTCCTACGCGACGCGACGTGACATGCAGGAGATAATGCGAGCATGCGTGCAGCCTTCAAGATACGCGCGCAGCACACTCTGAATAGTCAATCAGCATCGTTTTTGTATTCTACATGGCCAGGGGTTAGTGAAGGTATGCGCACGCAACCCATGGAGTCCAGGCTGCTTTTAAACCTCACTGGTGGGGCTATTTGCTTATTCACAGGCAGTGGCGTAAATATGCGATAAACAACTTGGAGGGTGATGTTGAATGTGTAACTTTTACACATTTTGCCATCACTTCACATTTTCTCAACGTCATGTGAGGTTTTGAAATCACGACGTCTCCCCAATCTCACGCGAAGCCCTCACATACAATGTACAGCGTGTGTCAATAAAAAAGTAGCAGTCAATCCTTAAATAATAAAAATACTAGCTCTCTCTTTTTGCAAAACTAGTCTGAAGGTATAGTAAATATTCTACACAATTATACCTAGCACGAAATGAGACGAAGGGTTGCCCCCAATAATTTCCTTATACCCTATGCAAACCCTAGACTATTGTTACCTAACACATCCCCCTTGACATCTCAATCGAATTCCTGAGATTCTGTTAACACAATGACTGACACAAAGGAGGGGGAGGGGGCTCCCTCTGTCTCATATCTTGCTACATATGTACACAATGGTCTCTATCCCATCTCATTTGGACACCCCAGTCCAGAGATACAGCTAATAAAATGAAGGGACTTGAATTCCAAGATGGGCCACTCTTCAGATTATCTGGTATCTAATGAAAGGCATTCACATACCAAAAAGGTGTGTGAATGCCTTTTATTAGATACCAGATAATCTGAAAAATTGGCGCAAACAGATTTTGACAGTCTTTACAAGCTTTGGCGTAAATAAACAAAAGTTCCAAATCATACAGAACAAAAATCCTGTTTCATGGTAATTCTTTTACAAAAAAAACCAAAACGATTTAGTTTCCTCAGACAAAAAATGTTATTTGACTGCTACATTTTTTTGAGACACGCTGTACTATGTGCTCAATATCAAGGCACAGACTGGCAAACCTTCTCAGAGAGACAAACATCTGAAAGTAAATGACCGGCATTTTTTTTCTTTTAAAGTGAAATTGGTATCAACCTACCGGGGGTCCAACTCTCCCTGTTCGTCCTGGGATACCAACAGATCCTTTCTCGCCCTAGAAAAGAAAAAATACAAGGACAAGATACATTTAATTTGTTATCAACAACAAAGACATATATGAAAAAAATAAAGATTTCCTCATCATATTTGTCATCCTGTAGTAATTATTCAGACTAAGGTTTAAATCTATTACAATGTAACGACTTACAGGCATGCAACTGGGAAGTCACAAAAAAGAGAGGAAATTCAAATCTTTCCAAGACTTTGTACAGTGTTTTTCTATTTTCAATGGAACACATTAGAAGTGAAAAAAGAGGAAATCAGCTGATCCGAGGAAAAGTTGCATGCCTGGACTTACACCGCCTTAATCTGGGAAAATTCATGTATAAATTTATACATAACTTACTCCCTCCCTGTTTTAATTCTGGTTTTACCATAACATCTAACATTCATGCATATAATACTGAAAGTAGCGCAGGGGAAATTTGTTCGTACAGTTTAAAAGAATGTCGATGTCTAAAAATAGTGTTGTTCATCGAGGAATCTCACCCTGGAATAGTTTAGATAATTCTCTTAAATCGCTCAACCTTACACATAAATGTTGTCATTTAAATTGCTACTTTATTATTAATCACTGTGTACATATCAAATGTCATATTATTGTACTCCTTATGTCATTTATACATGTTTGTACATATTGTAAAGAATGACATCATTAAAATAAATGTTACAGAATCTAATCTAACCTAATAATAATACTAACGCACGTATCTACCAGTATTGGTGCTCAAGGCGCTACATCATTAATACCCTGCTCCTGGGGAGCATACAGCTCGATGCTGCCATTTCGGCGCAAAGCAGCTAAAATCAACCACAATAACCAACTCCTCTCACAGGTACCCATTTACTCCTGGGTGGGGAGAAGCAATGAGTGACAAAGTGCCTTGCCCAAGGGCACACGCACCACAACCCCAGGCTGGACTCGAACATACAACCTGCAGAATTACCCGCATACCATGAATTCAATGCTCCAACCATGAGGCCACGGCTCAGTTTGTATTGTTTTTAAATAAACTCATTTATGAACTTTAATCCACAAAATTGTAATTTTTTAATCTTCAAATGAGTATATGTTGCTGTGAAACTGAGACTGTCCCACACTTATTATTTGTTTTCCTCCAATGAACCCAAGGGAAACTGAGTGGGTGAATTACAACAATAGAAAAGTTGAACGAAAAAATTGACTGGAGCGGGGCTTGAACCTGTGACCTCTGGATAAACGTTCCGGTGCTCTACCAACTGAGCTATCCAGCCCTATGTTGGCGGTTTCCCAATAAGTCAATATCTTTGTTCAAGGGGCGCTAGTCAGAAGCCATAAACCAGCATGCAATACAGCCAGAGATCACCAGCATACAATACAGGGTGAGTAAAAAAAAAACGAAACCCAAATGTTGGGACTAGTTTTATTGAAATTCTGCTTGTAACACTTTCAAAATCTAGGACATGAAAGCCCAATTCATAAGCTTTCTTCTAATACAAAAATCATTCAAATCACTCATGTACTTTTTAAGTTACTGAATTTCAAACACAACCACCATTTCAAAGTTCTGTCCACAGATCACAAAAACAGTGTGCGTTCTTTCAGCAAAACGAAAACAATTCACACACATCCCTATGTGATTTGTTTTCGTTTTGCTGAAAGAACACTTTACCTTCTTGTGATCCGTGGACAGAACTTTAAAATAGTGGTTGTATTTATAATTCCGTAACTTGAAAAGTACATGAGTGATTTGAATGATTCTTGTACTAAAAGAAAGCTTATGAATTGGGCTTTCATATCCTAGATTTTGAAAGTGCTACGTGCAGAACTTCACTAAAACAATAGTCCCGACATTTGGGTTTCGCTTTTTTTTCACCCTGTACAGCCACTGATCACGCTCAAATTCACGACACAGACCTGGGAAATTATTTTTTTCTTAGAAATAGAAGCTTAGGTCCATATAACGACTAAGCTGTTAACCGTTTCTTGGACTTAAAGCAAAAGCATTGCATGGCGTACCTTTTGGCCGATGGAACCGTCATTTCCTCTTCTTCCTGGTAAGCCTTGGTTACCCTTTAAAACAAGGACAGATAGGAATGAATTAAATCAACTTACTGAAAAGAAAATTAAGTACGAACTTTTTGAGAAATTAACAAAGTTTAACTGCAGTGGGGTAACATTTCAAAGTTTCAGGGGTAACATATCGAAGTACCAATAAAATGTTGCGTTATCTGAGAATCAACCAATACGAGGAAGAAAACAAACATATCGCCACTGTTTTGACGAAGTGACAAATCCGTCCAAAACAAAGATTTTAAGCAATTTGAGATTTTTGGATATTCTAACATTTTATGATGTCCTCTACATGATGACCAAATTTCAAGACACAAAATTGTATTGGTCATTAATTATGCTAATTACACAAAGTAATTAATGTGCAACACACTCAGTTTTTCGTTTCGTCTCATTGATTTTACACTTGTGCTATATTTAGATTTATGTAGGCTCTACAATTTGCATTTTGATGAAGTGATGAATCTGCGTTATCAAATATAGGAGCTCGCATAGGCGCGAGCTCCGTGTACAAACATATGCTACATTATGTGTAACGAAGTAGAATTTCGTTTTGATCATTAAAAGGAATTGAACACCATTTGTAAACATTCAAAAATGAAACTGTTAAACATTATGAAATTGAATGCAAGAAAATAATAGGATCACACATCCTGTGAAATCTTTGCACCTACTATGCTGTCATTTTTTAGAAAAGAGGAATAACCGTCATTTCCTTGCGATGGTCAGGACCAAACCATCACGCTTTCAACAGAGTTCTATCCTTTACGACGAGAAAAATGAAGATGCATTTTCACAGTTCTCTCCAAAAGTATGATATTTATTGAGCTAAGGTTTTGACAGGTTAGTTTATTTTTTTAATAACCAGCTTCAGAATTCTTTTCTTGAATCAGCAACAACACAGTTTTTGAAAATGGTGTTTATTTTCTTTTTAACAACCAAGCTCATCGGTAAATGTACTATACTCACCTCAGCACCCACTGGTCCTCTTTCACCACGTCGACCCATTCGGCCCGGTAGACCCTAGATTATTATAAAAAATATAAAAAATGGAATAATAAACATCATTACAGATAGGCTGGATTGATTGGCATTCTTGAGCAATTATGAGTGGAATTCTTCTTGTTGATGATTGGCTTCAATAAATGGCAAGAACTCTTCAAATTTGCTCTGTAAACCGTGATATCCCAGGTAAAAATTTCAGTTGAAACCAGTTCAACTGGAAATTGGTAACTGGTTTTGAACTGGATTTGAACTGGTTTAACTGGTTGAAAACCAGTTAAATACCAGTTCGTACCAGTTCAAAACCAGCTCACAATGTAAAGCAGTTAAACCAGATCAAAACCACCCACCATTTTCCAGTTCAACCAGTACCAATTGAAACCAGTTCGACTGGTTTCAACCGGTACCAGCTGAAACCAGTTCCAATGGTTTCAACCGGTACCAGTTGAAACTATTTCAACTAGCTTCAACTGGAATTTTTTCGCCAGTGATAACCAGCTAAATCCGTCTCTCTCAGGCTGCATCCAAATTACTTGGCTATGGCTAGCCGTAGCACACGTGTTTCTAGGAGGAGGCTTCAACTGCTTTATAGGTAGTTGCTAGCCGTAGCCAACAAATTTGAATGTTGTCCCAGTGACTCGTGCTCTAGAAATCTCTGAACCCCCCCCCATTTCCACTTGAAACAGTTTAAAGTGACAGTTTTTCATGCTGTTTGAACGTGTTAACAGGAAAATACTTAAAATTATGAACTTGCATGAAAATATTCTAATCCCTCTGCATAAATGTGTTGTTTTTTTTCAGAATGAAATTGCTATACTCCAGCCAAATCATTTGAGCTGATTTTATTTCTACTTCTGTTTACACATTCTCAAACTTCTATCCCAGATCCCATAAACTATCGTACACTCTTATCCCAAGCAAAGTCGGCAAAGGACAAGACCCTAATTTTGCGCACAGAAAAAAGATGCCCGGATGACGTCGTCAATGTGTGTCATGTGACACCACCTAAATTTTCATTTTTCATTGTAGTCCAAAACTCATTAGAACATTTGTTTGGGTTGAGTGTTGGTAAAGGTGCAGAAAATACAATGATTATGACAACTTGAAGTGAGTCATGATATCTAGATGTCTTGAGAACAATCAATGCAAACTTCACAATTGTCTTGTTAAATGGCTTTTGGTAAGGCATATCATATAGAAGTGCATGGAATACGGAGAATGCATGATGTAGTCATAACCTGATTTAGAGACGTAGGCTACTTACCGTGATTCCTGGATCCCCTAAATCTCCCTTGGGTCCCGCTGAGCCTGGTAGGCCTTGAACCCCGATGGGTCCTGGGGAACCAGGCGCACCACTTGGGCCTTCCTCACCCTACAAAAGTTTTTAAAAAAAAGATTACTAATGACATTGTGGTACTTGAGTACTAAATTTTGTGACTCAAGTTGGGTCGAGTCATTCTAATGCAACAACTAGAGTCGAGTCAAGCCATAAGGTCAAGGTCGAGTAAGGTCGAGTTAATGTCTGCTCGAGCTGATTCAAATCAAATTCTTGCTCAATTCGGACCGTGTTGCTGTCATTTGAAGACCATCTGGTACGGGGATGGTAAGTTTTTGTAATGACAGTACAAGGTAGGAGTTTGAGATATGATGTATGTCTGTATGCGCTGTATTCAGTACAAGCCAGCTCTCTACTTGACGAAAATGTGAAGTAGTAACTTACCATGAGTCACCACAACCATTTTCTCGCCTTTCTTTTACAAGTTGGGTCAAAGGCTAAACGTGACTTTAGTCAAGTCAAGTCCAGTTATTTACCTGTTAAGACTCCAGTCGAGTCGAGTTAATGCAAATGATGACTTGAGTCGGACTCAAGTCAGGTCAGCAACTCAAGCCATTACCCTTACCAATGACAATGTGAAACACACAACATCATTAAAGTTGACAAATGTTTTGTTCAACTGATCAAGATATTGAACAGATTATGTGTGAGACTTTCTCTCTGACACATAATGACCTTCACTTTCACATGCAATGACTTTTCAATCATTGACCTTTGAATGACTATTATTTTCAGATACTGCGCACATTACAAATGCTTTGTATTATCATAATTAACAATTATTCTCACTAACAGACTTTGATTGGCTTCCTTTATTGGGTAACATCAGGTGTAAGTGCTTCTAGCAGCTTACCAAGTTATCGCCTGTAAATTCAGGAAGAATACAGTACTTCCAGCTGTACACTAGTCTCATCTTGTTAATCCCTTTGTCAACAAACTGGCCCTAGCTGTTATCAGATACTGTTGCTAATCCCCTGCACTTGTCAATATCAGCTGTGTGACAGCACATGTGGCTAAGCGTTATGGATTATAAAGCCACTGTTTGGACAAAGGATTATAAGATAGATTAGAGGGCTGGCCAGTTTACAGTTAGATTGACTGTTTTCTCTCAGAAGTTTCTAGTGGAGGTTACTCGCAATGAAGGTCGGTTTCCGTTTTGTTTTAGCAATGTTTGGGCAGGACGAGTTGATTTAGCCATTGTATTAAAAACATGTGTGTATTGCTGCCTCAACCTTCATCCCCTGTGTCAGTCCTACTCTTTTGAAATACCACCCAAGACTCTGTAGCTGTATCTGAATGAGTTTGTTGCAGAAACCAAACTACTGGCATAAACATAACAAGAAAGAGGGTGCTACAATCCCGGCCAAAATGGTCTGGACACTTTCTGAGCCTGCCACGGTCACACACTCTCCCGCTCCACCTGTCAATGTTGTTCTCTCCAGCTGATGGAGCTCACACTGTGCAATGAGAGACAACATTGAATGGAGGCCAGGGGGTTGGGGGCCCAGCGAGAATTGGCCAGGATCATAGCTGGGTGGTTGAGAGAAAGGTCACTGGCTGATCCACAACCATATTTTAAGGGAGGGGTGGGTGGAGGGGAGAGGTCAAACTGGAAGAAGCTTATCGACCAGCCTTTGAAAATTTACAAAAGGGGGGGGGGTTGGGAGACCTCAACAGACAGGACCTCATGTGCCCTTTTTCCCTTTCTTTTCTTTTTACTTCTTTCTGCTAATGTTTTGCAAATCTAAGGGGGAAAAACGGATTAGTAAAACTGTGGCATCGATTTTAAAACAGTCCTATCATTTCATCTTTGGTTTATTTAATTGAATCACTTGAATGACTAAGTGAATTTAGCACCACAATGGTGGACCAAATAATAAGTCAGTCTAGAAGTGAGATACCTTAGGACCCCTTAGTCCCATCTCTCCTGGTACTCCCGGATCACCATCTTCTCCCTGGAACAAATAAAAAAAAAGAGACAATTTAAAACAATAATAATAATAATAATAGTGGGTATTTATATAGCGCACGTATCCACCAGGACTGGTGCTCAAGGCGCTACATCATTATTACCCCAGCTCATTTGGGCCCATGAAACATTCCAAATACCATCTCAGCTCCCTGGGGAGTATACAGCGCGATGCTGCCTGTTGGGCGCAAGGAAGCTAATTCAATCACAATAACCATCTCTGCCCTCACAAGTACCCATTTACTCCTGGGTGGAGAGAAGCAATGAGTGACAAAGTGCCTTGCCCAAGGGCACACCCACCATGACCCCAGGCTGGACTCGAACCCACAACCTGCAGCTTTACCTGCAGACCACGAATCCAATGCCCTTAACCACGAGGCCACAGCACTCCACTAAATGCAAGTTCCTTCCTGGAAATATCCATGAGATAGTTTCAAGTTCATCGAGCAGAAGCTTTGTCTACTTTTTGAAACTATCGTCGACTGGGTTGAAAATGCTAAAGATAGTGTTTAAAACTTGTTCATGTGCCTTTTGATTTTGTTTGTCTGAATGCTGCACAATGTTCTTTAATACCAGTTCCCTTTGAATATCTTAGGAATATTCTCTGAAACAATTAGTCATTTGCAGCAATGAATACCTTGTAGAGATATGAAAGATATATGAAATTTTGGAAAACATTATTCAAAGTTTATATTTGGCAACCCATAGAATTTAATGTTAAAAAAATAATAATTTCAGCAACCAAAAACAGGATTGAACAAGGAAAGAAATGAATGAAAATCCTTATGTTCAAATGAATGAGTAAACAAAAAGGCACAGAATTAACTTGTTCATTTATAAAAAGTTAATGAAAGAGCGTACAAGTAAATAAATACAAAGTTACATGTACTGGCTCATATAGCGTTTGCATTATACCTCTAGTTTTCTTTTTATGAATTCGGTGACAATATTCAATTATTCCTAGATGGGATGCCAGTCTATCCCAGGTAACTCCCAAACTAATACCAATTCCAATTTGTACCAATGAGTGGACAGGGACAAGTGACAATGATTTTGCTTGAGGGCAATCAGCTGGATTGGAACCACGAACCATTCAATCCTGAGTTATGAGCCCTAACAAACCCAGGATCTCCTTTAAGCAATTCAACATTGACTCACCGGTGGGCCAGGTTCTCCAAGAGGACCTCTCTCTCCACGGAGGCCCATGGGCCCCTGAAAACAAAAACCAATAAATGTTATAACTTGAAATGAAAATACTAAATCAAATTTTGTAAACTCCAAAAGCAAACATGTCATTGTTTTTATATGGGTCATTTTTTTCTTGGGCCTTAAAGTTTTGTGTATTTTTGTAAAAAGTCAGATTTTGTAAAAGTAATTTGTCTTCATTATTATTTTATTTTCCTTGTGTACTTTTTTTTCAAGGGAAAAATATGTAATTAATCAAGAATAAGGAGTGCACAAAAGCGATTAGGAAAAATACATTCGCTGTTACGAATTCAAAGAATTTAGTGAATTCAATGGAATATATATTTTGTATGTGATACAAAGGAAATTGATTAACCAAATAGCAACTGCGCTACATTGTTTTACATTGTGTTTATTAATTTCACTGATGAATCCAGAAGACAATTGAGTGCTTGGGCGGTTTTGGGCACAAAAGAGTAATTGGCAGGGCAGTTTAATAATAATAATAATATCGGAGTCTTATATTGCGCATGTATCTACCAACTATTAGGTACTCAAGGCGCTGGAGACATGTCTATTATTAAAGAAAGGTAAATAAAGTTTATGAGAAATATGAGACCCATTATGTAGCACCTTATAATGGTTTACAAGATGCTGCAGCGCATATTGCAGCCACTGCCAGAAACACCGGGGCAAACCCCTTCTCTTTAATAGCAGTTAAGTGTTACTGGGTTCTTTAACGTGCATTACACAACACACACACACACACACCTACGGCTTTACGTCCCATCCGATGGACGAACCAATAATGGTAAAGTGCCTTGCTCGAGAGCACAAGCACACATGTTCCCAAGGTCAGGATTTGGGGCAATACAATGTCTATTGGGTTACGTTTAATAAAATAGATGAAAAACATTACTGATAAAAATGTGCAAATATGACAAAATTATAAATAAGATACATGGAGGCATTTGCAAGAAGCCGACATTTGTGTAGAAATGCCTTCCAGAACAGGAAAAATATAACCAAAAAATCTAATATTTGTCACTTTTACCTCAACACCTCTTTCCCCCTTGGAACCTTTCGACCCCGATGAGCCAGGATCTCCCCTGTCCCCGTCCTCGCCAGGTGGTCCCGTCAGACCAACTTGACCTGGTAAGCCCTAGATATAAAAGACAATTTCAAATGCTCAGGTCAATAATAAACACTACTTTTAACAGAACCCCTCGCATCTGATGTCACATCTGAGAGCTGGTCTTTGTTCCCCTGTGATACACATGAGTGGACAGTTTGTATTACTTCATGTATCTCATAAATATTCATGATCGAGAGCCCCGTTTTCACTGGTCCATTCACCATCTGCCAGGGAGATCCGTTACCGTATCGTGTGTGCTAAAGACACGCTCACCCGTTGCACATATCTCAAGTCCACCATCAGATTTATCATACAAAAACTAAAAATTAGCTTCCATCCAAAAGATTTTAGGTCTAGGATTGAAGTTTAAAAGCAGCTTACCCTTGGGCCTGGCATTCCATCTCGACCAACAGGACCCACAGGTCCTGAGTCTCCCTGCAAATGAATCATATAAAAATAGTGTGAAGAAGCATACATGTACCATGAAGATTGGAATCCCCTTAGCGTGGAAATAGAGAGTTGGGGGAGACACAGTGGGGAGTGAATCTTGAATGCATTGCTGACAGGACCTGGGGCTCACACGAAGACGTTACTGTAGGGGTGTGGATTTACAGGGGTGGTATAGGAACCGCGTACCCAGTTGAAAACAAAACCACAGGTACCCAGGTATCCGTTAAAGAAACCCAAACCCAAACTTCAAATCTCTGAAGTTGCTGTTCAGATTGTTCATAAAAGTCCAAAAGATGATAAATGTACTGCCACATCAGTGCATCAATACAGCAAGATACAAGTGTGTACAGTGAGCTTTATAGCTTTACGATGTAAACTGCAGCTTTTGCGAGCTTCACAAAAATGAAATATGTTTTGTTTTCCCATGTTGCCTGGTTTTCATTTTGAAAATTCCCCATAAATGACATTCAAAACCTTTATCGTTTGAATTGTCTGGAGTAATTTGTAAAGTTGGGTACCTGATCCCATATTCTCGAACTGGTTCCTGACATCAAGGGTCAGGTACTTGGGTCCATAAATGGTACAGAGAGGTCTGACACGAACGAGAAATAGAGAAAACCAAGCCAAAGGCCTTTGACTTTGCCCCCTACCCCGACATCAAATGCTGAAAAAAAAACGGGTGACTAAGACTTTTAATTTACTGGTCTGTATGGTTTTTTTTCATCTGACATCGCACTTATAAAAAGTAGCATCAAGTATAGTGAACGGCACTATGCTTTACATTTATGCCTACACGATGGGATGTTTTCCTGTAGTATGAACATTTTTAATTGGTCACTTTTGCACAGAGGTCAATAATGTTGCATCCAATATTTGCTTTTTGGTGAATGTGCCGTGATGACTGAGAGTAAAATGCTAAGTAGCCCCCCCTCCACCACCACCCCAGCTAGAAGTGGATGAAGAAGCAGACAGAGCTGCTACTTACTGGTTCTCCCTTTAGTCCCCGCCCACCTTCTGGTCCTCTTTCTCCTGGACGACCCTTTTAAATTAAAGAAAGGAAAAAGCAAAACCATTAAAAACCCAGGCATGATAAAACCATTACTGCGATCATAATTTGAACCAATATCTATTATGTGTGTTATGGGGGAAAGACTTTTATTCTAAAAGAAGTTTTGGAAAGAATCAGTCAACTCTAACTTAAAAGTACAAAATGTGGGAATTACAGAAAGTTATAATGAACTTGTGTTTTATGTCTTGATTCAGATGACATTGATTAATTGAAGTCAGCAACAAGTGGTTAAAACTCAAAAGAAGTCTTTAAACATTATTTTAAAATGTCGAATTCTAAACACTTTCTTGCTGTCACATTAACACATTTTTTTCAGTAGGTCAGGCAATTACCCACACAGAGGCATTAGGCTACCTTTGTCCCAATGCCTATTGAAAACTTGGTCCCATGGTCAATTTGACCTCTCTTGGGAAAATTACCCATGACTCTGTCAAAAATTATCCGATTTGGACGTTTGATCATGTCTTATTCTATAGTGGAAAGGCGTATCCTTCAAACCATACCTATTGTGAAATCTCGATGAGTCAAACCTCAAGGGAACAGGTTCAAAATTTGACTTGAGCAGAGTTTTGAGTTAAGCAAGGTTGTTATATCATTGTAATACTACTGAAGGGAATGGATTCTTTGTTTGAATTAACAGTTGTTTTGAGTTATCAGAGTTTGACCTATCAAGATTTCACTGTATATTTTTGATGTTAGTAACACATTCTACGTCTGGCATTCGATAATATTTTGTTGTGCAATTTCTTTTTGACATATTGTAGAGTATAGAGATTCAGGGATGTAAATACCTGCATTCCTGGAGGTCCTGGTGATCCCGATGGGCCTTGAACGCCAGGGGAGCCCTGTAAACAGAAGGCAAGGATTAAAGTGGTCAAATAAGGGACAAGTAGAAAGGTCACGTTGTTGTTTCTAGTTAGTATTTCCTGCCTCTCACGACTCCACAGCGTTCCTGCACCTTTAAGGACAATAACATTCCATGAGCTTCCGTGACAATTCCATGACCAAATTCTGAAACATCCATGACCTAGCTCATCAAAATAAAGATCAAAACTGTCAAATTTGTTCATACGGCAAAAACTTTGAAATGAAAACGCTTGTATCAATAATATTTGTCGCATTTTGTCGGGTATGAAAGTTAACAAAATTTGTCGCATTCTGTCGGTTTCTGATGCTAAATTATGAAAGTTCCATGACTTCCAACACAGAGCTGTGAGTTTATGGTATCAATCTTGACAAGTTGAGCAAGGACAGGCTCCATGACGATCACGATAGTCCATTTTCAATCACTATAGCATCCTATAACCATCCTAAAATGACTGCGTCAGTTTCATCATAATATTTGCTGCATAAAAAGTCGCAGATTTATGCACTGTGAATATTTCGTGAAATGCGTCATAACTGAAATGTTGCGCAAAGTTAAATGTTGGGAAAGAATTTAATACCTGCACATCATTTGACACTCTGTGCACAAACCCTATGAGACTTGTCTGAAAAATTCTAAGCGTTTTCTCAGTAAATGCTTCAGTATTTTCCCTGCTAAATTTGACTTTTTAGGGCACGTTATCGCTTTCTGATGGTTGATAGGTCATTGCAGGAACAAACAAGTGATGGCCATGTATGGATTTCTTTCCAAACGTTGTTCAGCTTGTGCAGTGAATTGCGGTGCAAGTGGAAATACACCATTGCGTAAATTTTCGTGAAATTGGCTGCTTGAAATGAACGATGAGGTAAACCTCATTATCAGATGGAATATTGCGTTGGGGTGAAATAAATCAAATTAGGTTTTGCCCTTCACCGACGTTTTTTCAACACTGTATACTCAGTGTGTTACCTCCCGACTGAAAGTTGGAAAAATCACTCGGGTGGGACTCGAACCCACGACCTCTTGCTTTCTAGTGCAGATGTCTTACCAATCGACCACCGAGCTTACAGGATCAATTGGCCGGTAAACCTCAGTTAAGCCGTTAATGTGACATCACACTATTGTTAAAAGTGTCGATTCTGAACTACGAATCTGTTACACTGGTCACAAAGTGTGAATTTGGAACCACAAATCTTTAGTAAAGTGTGGATTCAGAACTACGAATCCGCACTTTGAACATGTCAGACAATTTCCTTCCGAAAATTACACAATGCATTTTCACTGTCAGATTTTCCGCTGTCTCTGCAAAAGCTACTTTGGGTCATAAAGAAATCATCGTCTGAAATCTCAATATAATTGACGTAAGGATAACCTACACTAAAAATGACTTGGATGCATGGGTGTGGCGATACATAGGCTAAACATGCAATAATGCTTGATTACGTATAAGAGCCTCAAAAAAGTCCCTTGTAAATTACCCTTTATATGGCCACGACTCGACACAAGATATGCAAGTCTTTTCATCTCCACTCACTGGACTGTTAATGACAATACTTCTTTTGACGCATTTTAAGTCGAAAAATACACTCGCAAGTGTGGATTCGTAAGTTGCGAATTCACTCGGCGCTTCGCGCCTCGTGAAGTCGTAAATTACAAATCCACATATTCTTGTGTATTCTCCTTAACATGCCTACCGGTGGTCCTGCTGGCCCTGGGCCACCGTCTTCACCTTCCTCCCCATCAGGTCCCTGTAAAAATATGAAAGTTAAAAAAAAGAAGATTGAAAATTCAACTAAGCAACAAGATGGTTCTCGAACCATGCATCTCATCTGCTTTCACGATAATCTGTACACAGTGACCTTTGACCTTGGTGTGTGACTTTGACATCATTATTATTATGAAGGTTGCCATGTTGCATCTATACTTCAAGTTTGGTTCCAATTGGATTACAACTTTTGAAATGAGACCAATTGTACATGTTCAGTCTACTTTACAACTTGACCTCAGATGACCTTTGACCTTGGTATGTGACCTTGGACATCAGTATCATATGAAGGTTGCCATGTTGCATCTATGATTCAAGTCTGGTTCGAATTGGATTATAACTTTTGAAATGAGACCAATTGTACATGTTCAGCCTACTTTACAACTTGACCTCAGATGACCTTTGACCTTGGTATGTGACCTTGGACATCAGTATCATATGAAGGTTGCCATGTTGCATCTGTGACCCAAGTTTGGTTCCAATGGGACTTTAATGAGACAAATTTTACGAAACTTTAACCAAAATAGCTCTAGAGACGTATCGAGCACTGTGACTTGTGATAGAAGACGATTTCATTGGATATACTAGCTACTATTTTTTTATAGTTAAGCACTCTCCTGATATCGCACTTCAAAATGGAAAGAGTGAACTTTGAATAACTCGTATCCTGAATTTATTGCATAATTATAGCTCTACAGAGATGTATCGGGCACTGTAAATTATGATAGAAGACGATTTCAGGGAGATACTACATACATACATATATATTTAGACAGACAAATTGATTGCATAGTCGGGGTCCGCTCATAAGTCTGACACCTTATAGGTCCGACGCCTCGTAAGTCCAACAAAATCGCATCCCCTAACCAAATAAAGGCCCATAAGTCCGACACCTCATGGGTCCGACGCCTCATAAGTCCGACGCCTCATAGGTCCAACGCCTCATAGCTTCAACGCCTCGTAGGTCCGACAAGTTTAGACGCCTTGTTATTCCGACATCGGACTTATGAGGTGTCGGACTTATGAGGCGTCGTACCTATGAGGCGGAATAAATCAATTTTATGCCTCATTAGTCCGACGCCTCATAAGTCCGAAATTTCAGACTTATGAGGCGTCGGACCTATAAGGCGTTGGACTTATGATATGGCCCCGCATAGTCTACTTCCTTGAACAATGTTCAGGCGAGACAAAAGGTTTTTAACAATCATTTGGTGAGTTACTTTTTGGATAGCTGCAAATGATCCACTCTGCCTTGAAGATACAACCACACTAACAGCACTCAAAATTGTTGATAACCTTTTTTGAAGAAATCAAAAGAATGTGAAGTTTTAATACCAACCTGAACGCCTTGTAGACCTCTTTCTCCGGGGAAGCCCTGTATCCCCGGCGGCCCTTCACTTCCTGGAAGACCAGGCTGCCCTGCTCTACCCTGGAGGATAAAAAATGGTCAAGAAATTGTGTAAAATGAATGCCATTTAGTTTGCGCTAAGGCTAAATGTCACAATGCAAAATAACAACCTCGATAAGGCCAAAAAAAATAATAAGTCGGTCTCTGGTCAGCGCGCGCGTCGATTTTAATCATGCGCGTCGATCTTTTTTTTTTTCCAAAATGTTCCGCAGTAGCTCCAACAGCGCCCTCTATTTCCGCACCTGCTCAATTTTTTTTTTTACCAAAGAGCACCAAGGAATGGGAAATTGCACCAAGGCAAATGATCGAAAGTACCAAAGCAAAATAGTACCCCACCTTGTCTGTACAATCCAAGCTTGAAGAAAAAAAAAAGCCGCGTGGCCGCATCAATTCCGGAACTTTGGTCTGACCAGAGACCGAATATTTTTTTTTTTGGGCCTAATGCAACTCTGTCCTTCCTCACTGGAGACGCATTAAAGTGACACAGGGCCTCAGGCTGGAGTTGGCCAAGGTGATGTACATAGTGAGTCGAAAAAAGCGAAACCCAAATGTCAGGACAATTGTTTTGGTGAAATTCTACATGTAGCACTTTGAAAATCTAGTATATGAACGCCCAATTCATAAGCTTTCTTTTTAGTTCCAGAATCATTCAAATCACTCATGTATTTTTTTAAGTTACGGAATTTTAAACACAACCACCGTTTCAAAGTTCTGTCCACGGATCACAAAAAAAGTGTGCATTTTTTCAGCAAAACGAAAACAATTCACACACATCCCGATGTGATTTGTTTTCGTTTTGCTGAAAGAACACTTACCTTCTTGTGATCCGTGGACAGAACTTTAAAACGATGGTTATGTTTAAAATTCTGCAACTTTCTGTAATATTCTGTAAAAGTACATGAGTGATTTGAATGATTCTTGTACTAATAGAAAGCCTATGAGTTGGGCTTTCCTGTCCTTGATTTTGAAAGTGCTACATGCAGAACTTCACTAAAACAATGGTCCCAATATTTGGGTTTCGCTTTTTCTACTCACCCTGTATAGTGCACAGTTGTGCATTCGAACATTTTTTTCGAGTAAACGAACTAACAGAGAGACATGATGACTTGTTGAGCTGCTCAGCCGCAGCTAAAAAACAGAGGCAATGACGTAGTCAACTGGAGATGATGGACAACCACGTGCATAGAGTACCGAAGTGAATACATCAAGCACACAATTATGTGTGTAAAAGACATTAGCGCGTGATTCAGACCGTGAACCAACACGCACGCGTACTCCATTTGTTTGCACTACACTTCCGGGTTCTAAATGGCGTCAAACTTCGATCGGTACTGTATTGTCAAGGATGCATTCTGCAAACATTGTATGCTTACCTGGATACCGGTGCTACCAGCTTCGCCTGGTAATCCTACTTCCCCGGGGGCTCCAGAACCCCCTGGAAAGCCCTGCGGTCCTTCCGGTCCCTTCTCTCCCGGAGGACCCTACATTCAAATCAAAATCAAAATTGGGCTTTGAATGATGTCATTTGATAAGCACTGTATACTCAGCGTTGTCCAAGGGCTTTTTTGTTCTCACCAGCGGGATGCCATGCAAAGAGCAACATCCCCCTAGCTGGGTGTTTTACAAATGATCATTGTACCCTCAGTTGACGTATTTTTTAGTCAGGTTTCGAAATGCACAACATTATTAGCTGTTTGTTTACGTTTTTTTTTTTCCCACTTTTTTCCCAATTACTTTTTTTTCCAATTTTCTAATTAAAAAAAATACATTAAAAAAACGACAAGATTAACTTCACAGTAGGCACAGACATAACCCAAAGCTTGTATTGTTTCTGAACAAGTTACGCCATGATGACCTCATCATTAGTCATATGACGTCATCTACATTTTGTCAATATATCACACCAAATTCATTTCTTCACAGCCCAATATTTTTAGAAGAATGTTTATGTACCTGTACATTCGACTTGATGAAACTCCTACTTGGCAGTGGATGCTTAATCATTCGAAACAGCTACGTGTTTGTCCACAAACACGACACATGTCTAGTTCTATGCTGTATTTATTGTGGGTGTCTACCCTCTAAACAAAGATCTCTCATCTTGGTTACTTTTGTGCACAAACAGATTTGCCCTACAAGTAAGCCGGCTCCAAATGGGGCAGGAACCAGTCCAGATCTACTCTCTCCAAACTGAAATATTATCCGGCATCTAATAATTAGTCAAGTAATAAGGCAATACGTAAACCTGGGCCAATATTTTTGTTGATGTCTCATTCAAAAGTGAATACCTATACAAACATAGCAATTCAAAAACAAAATCTAATTCTCGGGATGAAAATGGAAAATAGCACAGACAGAACATCCTCCATGTGAGAAGAAAACCCATTTTTTTTTTCATCAGATTTTATAGACACATTGGCTTTTTAAATCACTGACTGACTAGTACCTACCTGTGGTCCAATCACTCCGGCAGGGCCCGGTAGCCCTGGCTTGCCTTCAAAACCCTGCAAAGTGAAAATCAAAATCTCATAACAATTGCCAAGAAAATAAAAGGTTCAGGGCCATTCTTTGGTCACTGTGTGACATAAAATTGGGTTCCGGGCGCGGATCCAGAGGGGTGGGGGGATTTGGGGGTCAAAAAAAACCCCCAGCTGTCAAAAAAAAAAATTTCCATAGAAATTAATGAACAAAAATGCTAACCTTGGAAAAAATACGTACATAGCCAGCTTGGTTAGGGGTGCATGTACATTATTCCGTGATACAGTGCATGTAGTGTAAATAATCGTCGGATCTAAACAGCGCCCCCATTGAAAGGATGGTACCAGAAACCTCCCCCCCCCCCCCCCCACCCACTTTTTGATTTTACGGAGGCTAAGTGTCTGGAGAAAAAAACTTGTCTACATTTCAGACTTAAAGAACTTAAGAAATTTACACCTTTACTTACTATCACCACTTTAGTGAACAATAAACATTTGTATTACATCACCTAAATAACTTCCCCCCCCCCCAAAAAAAAATTATTTAGGTTCAATTTCTGAAGAATCACCCTTCAACAGAAAATATGAAGAGAATCTGGATGTTGATAAACTCTTGCAATACATACAAATGCATGCAGCAAACACATTATTGTCTGTTATTTTCTTTAGTCTGTTAGTGTACATGTACATCACATAAATTCAAATAGCAACACACGTCGGTGACATCCCCATATTTTGGGGGATCGTCACATCTCAAGTCACACAGCCGAAGTCAACAGTGGCGCACTCAGGATTTGGTTTTGGAGGTTTTTTTTGTGGGGGGGGGGGGGCAGACTATTTTGACGTTGGTGGCGCCACTTACACCCCCTATTATTCTACTCGAAAATAGGCCACATACATATCACCAAGGTCAAATCGTGGGAATAAAAAAAATTACCAAAAAAAATTAAAAATTACAACCTGGGAGGGGGGGGGGGGGCCCGGGGGCCCCCCGGGTGGGCCACTGAAAGTCAAGTCCTATCTTTATTGACTGGATATGTTAATAGAACATTTTGTTTGAATATGACTTCAGATGCTTGTGGGACTACTGTCTGTAGCCAAGTACCTTGGACGTAGTCGTAACGGGTATCACACTTATAATTGAGAACTTACTGCCTCTCCGCGTCCACCAGGGAAACCTGGGATGCCGTCCTGACCAATAGGGCCAGGGGGGCCTTTGGCGCCTGGGAACCCACGCATACCGTTGACACCTGCTGGACCCTGTGATAAAAATAGGCAAAATAATGAAAATACAAACAAATATGCACTAGAAAGGAATACATATCCTATTGAAATTTCTCCTTGAAAAATTCTGATTCAGTTATAACAACGCATAAGTAATATACTGTTGCTATCATTCATAAAATGCAAATCATACATAATTAATTCATTTTATATAATGCAGAATAAATCCCCTTCATCTCATTGGTGGGTTGTTAATCAGATGTTATTGAATTATTCGTCCCAAACCACTGCCCGGCCGCACCACCAAAAAAGAAGTTTTATTCCAAGGTAAATAGAAGTTCCATTATATGTTCATGCGTTTGGTGGCTCTAAACAATCAGGTGATGAGGATTTATTCAGGTGTTGTATAAAAACAAATAGTGAATGTTTCACATTCGTGCAATGGAAAGAATAGTTTCATTCGGTGACAGATGGAATGTTCCAATCTACTCGGCTTTGCCTCGTGGAATGGAACATTCCATCTGTCACCTCATGATATTATTCTTACCATTGCACTCATAAACATTCACTATTTGTATACTATCAACAGTTTATTGGTCATTCTATCAATTCCGGGTCAACTTCTTTCCTGTCCCTGTTACATCTGGCCTCTATGATTTTTTATAACACATCTCTTGCGTGTTCTTTATCCTGGTTGGCTGAAACGCGGTCACGTGTGATTCACTAATACAGGCTAGCGTATGAAACTTGCGTCAGTGTGAACTAGACCCGCGTAATTTCGACAGTATAGTGCCTGACTGGGCACTATACTCAACGATTTTTGACTGGTAAAAGCGCCTTCTGACAAAAGTCTCTAGGGAAACTAAAACCGTTCCTTTAATTGTTGAATTGATTATGAGTTAATTTTTGAATTAAAACAGTTAAATAATAAAACCCTGAAAGGTTTCTTTTCTTATATTATATTTTGGACAGAGGTGAGTTCTATAACACATATGGACTGGCATAATTCATTTCTTATTTTAGAATTTCGACAGAGGTGATTTTGGACAGAGCCGACATATGGCCTGTGAGTGACCAGAAGAGGGTTCTATTTCCCTCGGCGGAACACTCACAGTCCCTCGGGGCACATAGACGTGCACTAGTGACCTCATTGCCAGTCTATATGTGTATAATAGTACTTAAAAGAAGCACTCCTTACATGCAGTTGTCCTCAAGACCAAATATGCATGGCAAACTACCTACCCAACAAATAGAATAGTGTTGAAGTCATTCTTAATGACACTCAAATGGCAAATTTACTACACTCCAAGGTAACAGGGACAGGAAACATGTCACACTTTGGACTCTTAATTTATAGAATTACCAGATGATAAAAATCACCGAGCCTTAGTTTTAATGGGAAGGCTACAAAGTCGGCATGAAGCCAAGTAGTCTAACCTGCATACCTTTATAAAACTTATATATTGCAATCTTTTTACAGCCAAACCATTGTGGATGTTAATTTGCATATGCAAATAGAGGGAAAGACATTTAACCAATCAGAGACCTTGGTTTTTGAGATGGATGGTTTCAGGACTTACCCGATCACCAGGGAGACCATTGGGTCCTGGTGGGCCCTCTTCACCCTGTCCGAAAAAAAGAGTTAACACAAAAATATTGCAATAACAGAGATAATAAGAATGACTGATAAGGTTTTCAGGGGCTAGTTCTGAAACAACATCTTCTCAATTTTTTTTACAAACAAACTGAAGTGAATAAACATCATGCAGCAGTCATGTGCTGATGTTGTCGAGTACAATATAATCTTGTTATTATTTGAAATTAAAACAACATCTGTTCTATGTATGAACCCTGCATCAGATACCCTTTAGGATTCAACAAATATTCTCTCAAATTTCACAATCACGAAACAAAATGGCGTATTAAATAAAGTTACTCAACTGGAAAATGACCTCGTGTCAGACACAACATCGTTTTTTGAGGTTATTTGATACTTTCTTTGTCTTTAGTTTATGAATTTATTGACTTCAATTCTCTAGATATCGAGCTTGTCCCTGGAATAATTATAAGATAACACAGGCTCGAGAAAGGCCCTTCGTATTTTGCAATGACTCAAGGTTGCAATGTTGCATCTATGACCCAAGTTTGGTTCCAATTGGACTTCACCTTTTCAAATGAGACCAATTTTACATTTTCAGCCTGTTGTACAAGTTGACCTTAGATGACCTTTGTCCTTGGTATGTGACCTTTGACATCATTATTATATGATAGTTGCCATGTTGCATCTATAACCCAATTTTGGTTCCAATTGGACTTCAACTTTTTCAAATGAGACCAATTTTACATGTTAAGCCTATTTTACAACTTGACCTCAGATGACCTTAGACCTTGGTGTGTGACCTTTGACATCATTATCATATGACGGTTGCCCTGTTGCATCTATGACCCAAGTTTGGTTCCAATTGGACTTAAACTTTTGAATTTTACGAAACATTTACCAAAACACCACATACATACATACATTCTACATACGTACATGTACATGTATAGACATACATGTAGTGATTGCATAGTCTCTTTCCTGAACAAAGTTAAGGCCAGACAAAAACCAGTGATGTAATTTAGAAAATACATCATACATATCAAATACTGTAGCCATTTTGTCATCTAGCCTACGTCGTTTTACCTTTGGTCCTATCGGTCCTGAACTCCCTGAAACACCTCGTTCACCTCGCTGGCCTCGCGGCCCGCGATCGCCGACATTGCCCGGTATTCCCGACAGTCCCTAAAACAATAAAAGCACAACACAATGAATGAGCCAATCTGTCAAGTCCCCCCAATGGCGTTTTGACCGATAGCTTTTATTGTCAATGTCTGACAACAACTCTGACATGCATGCACTTGAGTATGAAAGGTGCAACTGAAACAGCAGTTTGGCGGAAGAGAGTTGCACGTGTTGTTGCCCATTTACGCATAACGGATCAGGAGCTGTCACTATGGGTGCATTCAATTAGCTCAACCGGGTCGACTCAGGTTAGCCCTGTACAGTTTGATTAGCTCGGACGTCATTCTCGGAGCTCATCTTGGTGAGCCACCACAGACCCTGCTCGTGGAGTGGAGTCAGTGGTGGAAATATGTCACATGCAAGTGTTGTTTATTCCAAGAAACGGACAAATATGGAGGCTGAACAGCGAAAAAGGTAAAGTTGACCCACAAATTGGCTATATATGAGTTTGTACACTCTTAACATAAGGCTACTCTCTTTGTGATGCAGATTTTTCCCTATTTATGATCCAATAAAGATGCCATGAAAGTTATTCTAATCAAATGTTTTAAGATTTCTTGCTCGCGTCACAAAATACAACTCACCCTGGATCCTTTCTCTCCTCGTTTGCCGTTATTGCCAGTTTGGCCATTGTCTCCCTGAATGGAATAGAAGATATGCAGATGAAAACATTTCAATATCTCGTATAAAGCCTCTGCTTCAGGCAGTTGTTTGATCAGTACAGCTTCCAAAACGTAACTTATTTCTTTATGACAAGACCTGATTAACTACGCATATGGGCTAGGTGTAATACTCCCTCCACTTTGCACTGGGAGGTAGTCTAATACACCAACACCTCAGGAACAGTAAGGCCGCATCTCGATAATGAATGGGCGTTGGTACCCCGTTCTTTCTGAAGGATCCTGCAGACTTTTGTAACAAAAGAGCTGAAACAGACTGTAATTAAATTACAGTCTGTTTCAGTGTTGTAGTCGAGTCAAGTAATTTCGCTTGTCTTTTCACAAGTCCAGTCACGAGTAAGGGGTGAACAATGACAAAGGACTGCTTTTGTAACAGTTCATTTGAATAACTAGTGACTTGCAGGGACTTGTGACTGACTTGTGATTGACTTGTGATGGACTTGTGATAGACTTGTGATGGACTTGTGATAGACTTGTGATGGACTTGTGATGCACTTGTGATGGACTTGTGATAGACTTGTGATGGACTTGTGATGGACTTGGTATGGACTTGTGATGGACTTGTGATGGACTTGGGATGGACTTGTGATGGACTTTGTGATGGACTTGTGATGGACGCTACGAAAACACTAATCTACTTCTCTTAATTCAAACCAGGTTGTATCTGAATGCTGTCATTACCTTATCGCCAGTTCTTCCAGGATATCCGGGCATACCAGGGGCCCCAAGCTGGCCCTGTGGGGGAAAAAATAACAACAAAATGACATCAGCCAAACTTTGATCTCTACTCTTCATTAACAAAAGTTTAACAGGCCTCGATCATTTGAGTTTAGATTAGCGGCCCAGAATAATTTTGTGTACAAATAATTGTATACATTCCAATTCATATTATGGAAGTTGTGATCAATAAAAGAAAGCTTATATAAACCAAACAAGACAGAATAATAAAATGCAATTTGCATTACATCCTCAGGAGTAATATTCTAAAGAGTTATAACAGGAGCTGATTGATACTCACTGGCATAAATGATAAGTTACCTTTCGTGCATTTTGTTCGTGTCCAATAATAGCACCACTCAAAATCCGAAGAAGAACATTCAAAACCTAACATGTTGAAGTTTCATTACGATCTTTAATCTAAGTCAGTTTTTTGATAATTCTGTAGTTTACTTTTGGGAGAAATGCAAATGATCCAATATGCCTTTAATAATCAAAGTCACACCTTTTCTCCCGGTACACCTAATGGTCCCGGATCTCCTTGCACGCCCACCTCTCCCTGAAGGGACAAAGAAAAGAAAACTTTGATAAGCAATATGATATTTGTGGATTATTTCATTCGGTGAAGTCAAAACAATTGTGTTATTTACTGCTCATTTTTAACATTATCTCAGAACGCTAAAGGGCCCATGCAATGTTATTTTTTTTTAATGCAATCCTTGGAAATGCACCTGCGTGTCCCATTTAACCTTATTTTCAACTTTCGTTTTACCATTTTCAACGATATTTTGGTGCTTTTTTATTTTACGCTAATGCTTATTGCCATATTCATGAGCAAAACTGTGATGTCATTTGGGCAGAAACCTCATATGTTACATCTATTTCAACACAAAAAGTTGCTAGAATTTTTGGTAAAGTTTCGTTTCTTTGGAGATTCGTTGCTGTGTCAGTACATGGCAGTAAGCAAAATGCAAACCTTTCTCACAATTGTTTTCAATGAGCAAATAATGGGTTCACAATTTGAACGGAAAACCCATAAACTGAGCAGTGTCTTCCTGAAATGACATCACATCAACAGCGCCATCCGTTACCAAGAAAAAATCGGACATTTTTTTATGTTTAATCTGGAAGTGCAATTTCAATAATATTTACCAAAAAAGGAAGTCAAATAATTTTCATACATTTCATCGGAGTAGAAAGTTGCACAAAATGTGTTCCAAAGAAAAAAAATCATCACATGAACCCTTTATTTATACAATAAAGCTATAACGATGAAATAAATACTTTCCATTCATACTTTGTTTCTGTTTTTTATTTGTGGATAATTGGCCAATTTTTGCCAGCATCAGCAATATTTCCATGAGTAGATCAAACTCTTTGATCTACAAACACTGTAACACACCAGCAAAACGAGTTAACCATGGAAGACGTATATTCATAAATGGCTGAGTCAAGTATTTGGGGGCTGTGGCTATCAAGGGTCTAGTGGATGACTTTCTTGAGTATGTAGCCATACATGTAAGTGCTAAAGCACCAGTCACACATTTACGGTTTGGAGCTACGGATTTCCACGGTTTGAAATTTGTGAAAAACTGTGGGAGTACCGTATTCATCCGTAGTACATCCCTGGTTATCTGTCATCTTCCTTGGGTATTCGTGGTAAAACATCATGAAAATCAATCCGCAGTGCAACCATGGGACATCCGTAGGACAACCGTACTGATTCGTAGTGTTATTGGTGGCTATTCCTACATATTCTTGGAGATTCGTAGCTCATTCGTGGCAGAAATCTCTACGAATTCACTACGAATGTCCTACGGATATGCCCGGATGTTCTAGGGTTCTGCTAAGGTTGTATTCTTGACTATTCGTAGGAGAACCTTGGTCACCCTTGGCCCAATCGCAGACAATCATTATTCTTAGTAATACCATTGTTATTCTTCACCAATCCGTCCATATTCTTGAAAAAACGTGGTGCATTCGTAGAGAAACCGTAGTACAGTCTTGGCTATCTGTCCTAAAACCATAGTGCATTCTTAGAAACTCAATTTCTCCACGAATCTCGATGGTTCATCGCGATCCATTGACTTTTAGTAAACCATAGATATTGGTAGCTCCAAACCGTAATGTGTGACTGGGGCTTAATAAGTTTTAAAAATAAAGTAAAGTCTGTCAATAGCCAATGTGGCTTATCAGGGTGCAACCCTGCAAAAAAAATCCAATAAACACTAATGCTAAATGCGCATACTGCAAAATTCTTTTAAAAATACTCAGAACCCTCACAGGTATTCAAGCTGCACAGAAAAATGATGATCAATGTGTCATCTTTCATTTTCTTTTCATTTTTTGGTAGGTTGACCATTGACTTTTCGAGATATTCTCACCCAAAGAAGACGACCCCTATTTTCCCCAAAGCGGAAAAGTAGCCATCTTGAAAAACGATCCCTCCACAACATGGCAAAATAGCGCCACTTTCCAGCCCAATAGCATCCAAAATGCTCAGAATTGGAAACCCCAAGTCCGGGCCAGAGGTTCATTACCATATCTCGTCAATTCCCCAATTTTATGGCTCTCAAAACTCTCTAATATAGAATATTTTGAGGGTATAACTTTTATTCATGATCTCGGCGGACGGATTTTTGGCCTATTTACAGGCGTGCACCCATTAGGCCAGCGTTTATCTCCAGTTTCAGTAGCATGAAACGACTGAGGATATTTCTACTCCCCCTGAAGTTTTAACCATCAATGGTTCATAATGTGATTGATCCGAATGGTGCAAGGCTGAAGATTAACTTACCTTCGATCCCACAATTCCTTCTGGACCCCTAGGTCCCGGAGGTCCCTGTACGCCCTAAACGTAAAGAAAAATGGAAAAATTTATCAGCAAATGAATTCAACTAACATAAATCAAACAAGCTCGAATGATCAGGGTGTGACACCATCGAACTGAAAGCAGCAGCACTGGAAAGACGGGCTGTGGTGGGAGCGGACCAGTGATCCCAGCTGTGCATAATTTGAGGAGGAGACCACGGACAAATGCCTATGTCTAACGAATGAATGAAGCTCGAAATGGTCTCGGAAGCTGCGGGCCAATGAGTTTTTGTTCGTCCATGTGTACCTTCTGCCTAGTCTGTATGAGGTAGATGGCGCTCTTGCATGCACATGATGGCCCTGGCATTGAAATAAAGGATTTCCCATTTGTTGAACATCACAACGTAAACTTGATCTCGATAATGCAAGTCTGACACAGGGCCTCAAGCAGGAGCTGGCTATTGGTGAGTCATAGTCCACAGGTGCGCATTCCAACGTTTGTTACAAACAAACTAACTAACTCAATAACTAACATGAGTACTTGTAGAGCTGCTATCATCAGCTAAAAATTAAAGTTGCCCGATATTTCAGTCCTCGCAAGGACTTCTTCAGACGCAAATGACAGAGGAACAAGAAACAAACATGTAGGGGACACACAAGCATTCAGAGCTTGAAAGAGAAACACAAAAGAGGGATAAGGGGCAGGGGGAAGACCAGTGTAGGTGAAAATCAAAGGGGATAAGGGAACAAAGATGTGTGGTGGGAAAGGATCAAGAGGAGGTAGATGGAAGAGATGATGCAGAAGGAGGTGATGATGATGATCATCATCATCATTATCATTATCGTCATCATCAACTAATATGTTAAGCAGATATGGCGTCCTGCAGTTTGATATACAGTTCTGTCAAAATATAATTATATATTATTGTATATAATCAAATATCTTAATCAGTGGGTAAAAATAACACAGAATATTGCCTTTAGAATCGCACTCCAGAGGCTTATATCTTTGGCACAATTAAGTGCATGTATCACCAGAAAGAGAACCCTCAAAATGAATACTGCTTCACATCAAACCAAGCAGTGTTGATCTAGGAGATGCACAGAGTCTATTCTAGCTGTGTTGTATAAAAATGGTATGGAGATAAGTCTTTGAGAATGATCCAGGTGATGTACCTGGTATTTGCTGCATATATCAATCCCACTTCTGACACCATGTTACCGGGTTTTTATCCAGGATTGAGGCCGAGACAGATGACACATATCCTGACAGGATTCTCAGCAACTACTGTGTTGTATTTTAGAACAATCTATGACTGCATCAACGGCCTTACACATATCACAATCCGCACAGGAGGGCACTATACAGCTTTAGCGGTGTATGAGTGAGCCCAATGGGTAGAAGCCAATCACAGCGAAAATTAATCTCCATAGACTGTGTACAAACGTGGAACAAACCAGCGCGTACGCTTGGCAGATTGACCACGTCTGGGTTGCTGCATCACATAAAAATAACATGTTGTTGTTGTACGTTTTTACATCATGGTCCGGATTCGAGGGCGTGCGTTATATACTGTACGGACGTACGGCGCTATGCGTGGATTTACTATCATGACTATAGGCACAGACTGAGCCCAACCCAGACTTGAGCCAAGTCTAGCGGTATATGAGCTCATGTACCCTGCAGAATTCATTTATAAAAGAACTTTTTGAAATGTGTAACATGAAGAGTCCTCAACCAATGATAATTCAAAGTCTTAATACTTGGCAAAAACATGCAGAATGTGCAGAATTGTATGCAAAGCACTTGATCATGCCAAATTTTATATTAGTTTTAAAAGGAACTGAACTTACCAGATCTCCCTTGAGACCTATGCTTCCTTTTAAGCCAGGCATGCCCTCCCTGCCCTGGGGAATAAGAAAAATGATAACTATAATGTATCGTCTCGCCGTGCAAAAACATTTCACGTTATTTTTCAAACCTTTCTCAACAGCAACACTTTAGTCATCTCCTTATTTTGTAAGATTAGTATTTAACTCTTTAAGCGCCAAAGTCGTACATGAACGAGGTATATTTGTTAGTTCGAAATCGCCAACCTCATACATGTACGAGGTAATGTTCGTACTCAAAATCGCCAAACCTCGTACATGTACGAGGTAGAGTAAGCATGTTATCACAAGGGGGCGCTCTCGCTCTTTCTAATAATATCATTTTCATTCAGTTACGACCTGTATTTATTTGTTTCATTCGAGTTCTTGCGAGAGGGCGCAGCACTGACGCTCATATTTTCTGCAAAAATTGCGGAATTCCCCTGTGTGCAGGACAGTGTTTCAGGGTGTATCACTATGTATGTGACTACTATTGACTTTCCAATATACCGAGGATGTACCAGAGAGCAACAACAACAAATTTAGTGAGTAAAACTTATGTCCTTTTTTTTTTACAGAATTTTGAACAGTTAACAAAAACGCTCGAAGTTGGGCACTTTAGGGTTAAACTTTTCAAATTTCGCGGGCACTGAAAGAGTTAAGCATAAAACACCACCACCATTGACTGAATAGAACAAACCTGATGCAATTGATAACAAAAAATATAACCATTGGAGAACTATTCCATGTATCATAGTGCCAGTCACACCATGAAGTGACGCATCATATGCACAAGTCCATAGACGATATGTCACTTCGTGGTGCACCTGATGATAACTAACACAGTCAGTTATAAAGCCATAGTTTGTTTCATAAGTCATATACTTAACCACTGCAAAATGGTCATGAAAGAAGCAAGGCATTCTGGCAAAATGAGACAGAACTGGGCAGAGGTTGAAATGCGGGTCTGTGGGTATTAGGAAAGAGACTAAAATTCTCCTTACAATAAACTGTTTGTTGCACTTCAATTGGACATTCCGTTTGCATGTTATGGCTATTTAAAGTTTGCTTTTATGGTCATGTCAAAAAAGTAAACATACAAAGCAAAAGGCCTTTAACTTTTCAAATTGTTTAGTTGTGAAAATGAAAAAAAACCAAACATTTTTCCCCCTTTAAAACTCTTTTATTCCACAATGTTTATACTATTTCTTAAAAACATGTGTTGTAAACATGTTTTTTTGGTTAACTTGTTAATTTTATAGTATCATTTGTTTATTTATTCATTTTTTGCTGTTATGGGCCTGTGTACATTGAATGGAATGGGTGCAATATAAATTAATAAATTATTATTATTATTATTGAAGATTACAAATATCAAAATATCTGAAAATCGACAAAAAAAATCACCTTTCATTTCTCATTTTGCCAGAACGCCTCACATAATGTCATTAACAAAATGTTAAGCATCGTCAAATGTTGCCCGACTAAAGCAATGCATGTTTGGTAAAATCTGGTACATGTCAATTACGACACTGCATAACGTTTTGTGAAATCAGCTGCAAAAAGTCTCCCTTGATTTTGAGCAAGCATTCCCGTGGGAAACTTCACAACTTACCAGCCAGCCGACCCAAACAAGCTTGGGGGTTGAGTGGTAAGACATCTGCGCTAGTAAGCAGGAGGTCGTGGGTTCGAGTCCCACCCGAGTGATATTTTTTCACAGTCACTCAGGGGCAACTCTCAGTACTACATTGTTTACAAAATACGTTGGTGAAGGGCAAAACCCAATATTGAATGAACTTACCGAAGATCCCTTTGAGCCGGGAACGCCTCTGAAACCATCAATACCTTTGATTCCCCTAGGACCTGCGAAACCTTGCAAACCTTGCGGTCCCATGGGTCCCTGTACGAGAACGGAAAACACAGGTACAACACGGTTAATTTAGAAGAGACTTCGGCAGTGTTCTAAACGTGCTTCCAGAACTACGGCTACGTTTATTGTCAGCATGTGCCCATGTTTTTGCAACTGGCAAAGACCTAGGCCTAGCTCACTCATCCGCATAGACAGCATAGGTCCGTCGCCCATAGGTCCTAGCTCTAGACACTAATTTCGAATGCAGCCTTACTGCGTACATGGAGTCTGGAAAAGACTCATTATAAAATCATAATCATATTTTTTATTAAATAAAATTGAACAAACATCCTTCTTTTTTTTTCAATTTAATTTTAGTCTTTATTTTTTTGGCTTTTTCGCAATTTTGCGAAAAAGCCTTTGTTTTTGTTCTGATTTGTTTTTGTTTTCTTTCTTCTTTTTGTTTCACGCAAAATTCCCATAGAATTTGTACATGATTTTAGTACACGCCACTTTTGGCATTGAACTTTGTCATACATCATTCAAATTAAGCATATGCATTGTCCTTATGACAAAGTTGTGTCCCGAAGAGTGACGTCATGATTACGTCATCAGGGGTCACGTGACGTCATCACAAATGTGCATATTTTGAAGTCCTTTATCTACAGAACTGTAAGTCCGATTGGGTTGAAACTTGGTATGTGGGTAGACCAGGATGTGTTGTAGGTAAAAAGTGAGGTGACGTCATGATGATGTCATCATGCGATTTTCTATGAATATTTAACCTTGAAGCCATATCTCACGAACGCAACATGCAAACTTCAAAATTCTTTTTGTATTTGGTTTGTTAGGTAATAGGTATATGCACAAAATTTTGAAAAATGTGTGACGTCATCATGACGTCATCAAAAATGCGATTTTCGAAAACACACATAAGAGAAAGTCCGATCGTCATGAAACTTGGTAGATAGCTACATAATGGTACTAGTGTGCAAAATCCGAAATGACGTCACCATGATGTCATCGGTTGATTTTTTATGATTTTTAAAAATATTTACAATTTCATTCCGCTTTCAAAATTGAACACTTTCTTTCATCGGACTGACTTCAAACTTAATGCAAACTAAGACCACAATGACAAAATGTGCATTGACAAGTGTTGTAAAGATGACGTCATTGCAGGCAATGTGGCGTCATGTGATAAACTTATATTTTAGGAATTATTCTAAGCATTTTGAACAAACTTTAACTGCATGAAGCACTCTAAAAAGTGACTGCAAAAGGAACAACAAAACATAAACATTTGTAAAATGCGAAAAAGCCCTGTATTCTGTTTTCAAACAGACATACAGCTCAAGTTTGGTATTTTTTTTATCTGTAAAGGTGGAATGGATTATACAAAACCCAGTTTGATTTAGAAAGATTAGAACAAATTCACTCACTGTTTTTTGACCATTTAGGAAGATATGGCCCCATTTTTATCCTCGTTTGTTTTAGCAAACACATATTTTTTTAACAACAATCTGTGGAATTCTGTACAGCAAAAAGTTGAAATTTACTTGCCATCAAGCTAAATGAGTCGTTTGTCGACCCTGATCATTTTTTTTTACAGATTTGAAAAGAGCACAATCTCAGCATTACTGCTGTGAAAACAGCATGCTGATACCATCTTTAGTTCAAAAATTATGGAAGTCGGAACACAAATGTGATGAAGTGATGTGATGAAGTGGTCCTATTTTGGGCTTGAATCTCCAAATGAAAATTCCTGACAAACGACTCATTTAGCTTGATCGCATCACATTTTTGAATGTACAGCAAGTGAAACTCTCACTGAAATGGGAATTCAAATAAATGAAGACATTCTTTCCAAAAATTGAAATATGAAAAAAGTGAGAAAGCTGCATGATTATGAAAACTTGCAGAGCATGCAAAGTATAACAGCTGTTACACATTCTTTGCTTTATTGTTTTCTTAAATTGTGTTTATAGGATTCCAAAAGGTAACGAAATGGCATTTATTGTGTGTTGGAAACAAACCCTTCAAATAAAATCATTAAACACAATGCTTACATCATCTCCTTTGGGGCCAGATGGTCCATCTTGCCCAGGAAAACCCTGTAACAAAAGCAAATAAATGAAACGTGTGGATAACTTAAATAGCTCAAATATATGCTCTTATTTAATAAATCTTATTTTCAAACTGGCCTTTTCTAAATATTACAAACAAGGGCCGATCCAGGGCCCCCCCCCCAAAAAAAAAACAAATCCAATTTTGTGTGTGTGTGTTATTTCGCAATAAAGGCAGGCAATGAGTATACCACCATCTTTTCCTCAAATAACATTGTTTAAAGTGGTCAGAAATCGCCTCAGATCGCATCACAGAGCATGTAGAATCAAAACAAAAAAAACCGCTGTAATTGTTTTGGACACACTTTTTTGGGGACCACATTTTTGTTGCCCCCCCCCCCCAAATTGTGTTCTGGATCCACCCTTGATTACAAATGGCACGCAGTGGGTTTCAATTTCCAGGGGGGGGGGGGCACTTAGGGTGCCTCATTTTCTGTTGGGGGCACACATGTTTTTAACAATAAAAACAACCCTCGTTTTTGCCTTTCCCCAAAATTCTTATGGGAAGCAAGTACAATATTTCTTCAAGCTCAAAGGTTTTTTTTTTTAAACAAAATTTATTTCAATAATAATAATACTGTTCCGAGGGTCATGATTAAGGCATGTTGTCATGATTCCTTGATTCAATTATAATTACAGAGTGCTTATAAAACCATAAAAAAAACATGTCTTACGTTTGAGAAAAGAATTATTCATTTCCATGCTTAGAAAGATTCTACTTGTGCTACAATTTTTGTCATTTACAAGACCTTCAAAACCTCTTATTTTTTAGACAAATTAACTTGAATAACTATTCTATATTTTTATTATGCAAGTCAACATTCAGTGTCTTATAAAGTTTGTTTTTAAGCATCAAAATCTCTCTGAGGAATTCTAGAAACCTTCATGAGACCTTTCAGAGATCCGTTGCTCAATTAACATGATAATGTGAAATCCTACACTTGCTATAAATTAACCCAACTGTTTCGTATTTTGGAGTCATAGCAGTGGGAATCACCTTCATAATAATAATAATAATGTGCTTATATAGCACTTTATACCAACGGTCTCAAAGCGCTTTACAATTATTACCCCTGTTCATCAGGTCATGAGATCAGTTTTGCACCAGCTCAAGATCAGCGCATTCTACTTTCTACCTTCACAGGTACCCATAATATACACCTGGGTGGATAGAGGCAATTGTAGTAAAGTGTCTTGCCAAGAACACAAGCACCATGTTCCCCTTCAGAGTTCGAACCCACGTACCACGGCACGTGAGTCGAACACCATAAACACTGTACCACAGCACTCCACTTTGAACGTAAAGGTAGGGTAGATCATTTATCATTTGTGCATATTTTTCGTTTCAAGCAACAAAAGTGCTCAAAATCTAAAGATGGGTGCTTAACAACTAACCGGATGAAGTTTTAGCTCAGTCAATGCTGTATATTCCGAGAAAACAATATTCTAGGATCTCAATTTCAAATCAAAAGTTGCAGAGTCATGTTTTGAATTACACCCGAAATCAGGATCCAGGACATGTTCTCGTGCAGCTGATTGCAGCTACGCGATGTCTCGCACTGAACCGAAGAATAACAGCAACCGCGCGCGTGCAAACACCCATTCATTCGCCAAATTACAAACCAACTACATGTACTAACAGAAATTTCAAAAAATGAGTCGCTTGACTCTAACGGCTTTCTTTTTAATAATGTTTTCTTTTTAATAATGGATAGCTGCAAATGATCTACACTACACCTTTAAATCATATGTTGTTACATTATGTATTATCATTTGTGTAATGTCTCTTAAATGGTGTCAAAGACATTGTTAGAGAGTTAATTACTCACCGGAGGGCCATCCGTGCCTGGTACACCGGGAACCCCTGGCTTACCCACAGGCCCCTGTACACCAGGGCCACCCATAGAACCCTGAGGTCCCATTGAACCCTACCCAGATAAAAGATAGAAAAGAATTGAAACTCATGATAAATAACAAATTGAAAATATGCCAGTAAGGGGAGTACACTCTTAGAACAACTTAGTCAAAATATTGACTGGTTTTTCGAGTTGACTTGGAATTGAGTTAAACGTGCAAAGTTTCATATTATGACTAGAAAAAGTAGTTGGGTTTGACTCCAGTTTTAGTTATTTGCACAACTATTTTTCCAAAGTCAATAATACTGACTGGAAAAATCTAGTCAGATTGACTGATTTTCAGTTGCACCCAGCTGACCCTGAATGGCTAGTCAAATTTAACCGGTTTCTAATCAAATCTGACTAATGGTTTTTTAGAGTGTAAGGTTGGCATGGCGGTACTTTTTTTACATTCCACCACAGTGAGCCGAATTGGATTCGTGCTGGGGCCAATATGTGGATTGGGTTTTCAGTCCCTACCTGATTCCGTGGGCTTCCCCCGGAATATTCTTCTGGGCTTTTCCTCCCTCATCTAAAACTGTAATTTCTTCACATTGTCTACTCTTTACTGGGCCCCATGGGAGACCAGTGGATTCCACTGAATGGGCTTCCCAGTTAAAATAAGAACTAAATACAATTATTACCTGCTGTAGGATAGTCACTTTACCAAAGAGAGTTCCATAATCTGATACAATAACCCAAGACTTGATGACACAGAAATTGATAAAAAAATCCTAAAATTACCAGGGATATTTTAAGTTTAGATGTCTTTGGTGACCTGGATGAGACTTAAAGCTGGTATATAATATATACGCGCTTTTCCAAATTTTCGATTTTCTTTTCCGAACAAAATTTAAAGGAATATAATATCCTGCAACAAATAAATTGGCTTGTTTATTTTTCGCAGGCCTTTATACAGTTTTAAAAAGTGGTTTAAAATGGCGCGCTCCAGTTCAGAAATTGCACACACTATTCATTCAAAAGTTGAAATCAATTAATTGATTACTTGTCGAGGGGTGATTTTTTTGTGCGATGTCTCATCGGAAAGCTCATAGCTAATGTAATGCTAGAAAATTATCAATTCAATTTAAAAAACTATTTTACAAGGTGCCACACCCAAAAATATTGGTATACACCATTTTTAAACATGCTTAAACAATATAAATACAACAAAAAGTTTAAGGATACTTTGTGATAAGCGAAAGGGGGGGGGGTTAATACATTTTGGCCATCAGTATCTCCTACTGTATTTGGTCTCACAGCCATTTTTCTTTTTTTGAAAAATGGACTGGCTCCGAATTTTTCGACTATATGGACGGTAGTAACACATGTGTCTATAAGAAAAGGCCGCTTCCATAGGCGCATGTGTAAGTAGCGGCCATAGTCAAGAAATTCAGATATGTCCATAGACACTTCACATGGTGTATCCTCAAAATTCTCCCAAGTTGTACGCTATGGTAGCGGATGAAGAGGAGGCGCAGCTGGCACTTTCACTATTTCTTTTTTTTTAAGTACGTCTTGTCTTTTTGCCGTTTCTTCTGCTGTCAACTGGTTATTTAAACACTTCAAAGACAGACATTTTCACCCACATGAGCCAAGATATGTATGTTCGGGTTTCGCCTCCATTTTGGTCCCCCCCGCCCTTGCTCTGTCAAATATCGACTCGCTCTGACGCCTCGTCACACCCATTCCCTGTACTAGTTTCTGAGGCTCTCCTCAAATTTTTCCCTCGTATCGCCTCTCTTTGGAACTCCCTGCCTGAATTTTGCTTCCCTTCTTTCACTATTCAAACAAAATGTGAACAGGTACATTCTGTCACTTGTGACTGCTTCCATTCCTTTCTTATTCATTCTAATTTGTAGCACACATCTTTCGTGTTGCCTCGACCTTGCATTTGGGCGAATCCTAACCACCCCCAACCCTTCAAACTCCTACTGCATGTTTTGTTGGAATCTGTTGGAGTGAGGACTGCACTAGTAAACTGATTATGCTTCACATGGGGTCAGGCATACCACAAATAATCAGAGTCCAACAGTTTGGGTGTTGAGCTTTCCATATTGTGTTGGATTTTGCAAGAGTGAGGGAGGCTCCTGGTAAATCACTCAAGGGGGTTAGGGTAAATAAAAAAAATATATCAAATTTGCAAAGATCCCATCTTTGAACGAAAATGTGTGGACGTCTACTTACCGCTGATCCTTGCTTTCCTGGCATACCAGGATTACCGGGCATACCTGAAATGCCCATGGCACCTTTTGGCCCAAAAGGACCAGGGTCTCCAATGGCACCCTGCAAATAAAAATAGAAATCCAAATTCTTTTAAAAATTGATAAGAATACAAAAAAGAATATTTTTGATAAGAGCAAGTGTGCCGTTGCACCATTTGACGAGAAAGCTCTTTTGAGAGTTTGTGTGGTTCTGAAAGAGCCGGGGCAATCAACATTTTCCTTGTCACATAGCGCAACCACAAACGTAATCTTATTGTTGACTTATAAACTACGCAAACCTTCAAATTTTATCCAAGTATTTTGAATTTTTTTTGATCTGTTGAAATCCATTTCTGAAATAGCTGAAGACGTGAATAAACTAGTGAGTGCTCTTTTCCACGTCCGTGAATACACCAAAATCTGTGGTGTTAAAAGTAGGAATTAATCTTAAGTACCAAGAAAATGTTGACTCCGTACTTTGAATACAAACAAAAATATGAGTAGTTGGACTCACAGGTGACACAATTATGCAAGAGATATATTCGTGTGTTTTTGTTTTGTCTTGTTTTGTTTGTTTCCCTTTTTCAATGGAGAAGTGAATAAATGACACTTTTTAAGAGGGTGGTACATACTGGGGTTCACTCTACTGGAGCAAATAATAACCATTTAATGTTTGTTGTAACTATTTCTATTGGAGAATAATAATAATAAAACATCCCCAAAGACCTGTGCACAAAATTTTTCAAACTTAAATGTGCCCTAACCCAATATTCCCTTTACCTTTTCCCACAAATTTCGGTATGTTTACTAATTAGACCACGAGCAAAAAATATAATCTAATTGCGACGATAAAATTTTGCCTGTAAAGGGGGGCTGTGACATTAGGGAGATCTCTCTAATGACCGATGTCTCCCATCGTGCGAAGAAATTACGATAACGTGTCTCCTTAATGGTACCATTACACATATAATAATTACAGGAAATGGGTCATTTGGGTACATTCCCATAGACTTGCGCACAAAATGCTTCCATCTTTAATGTCAACTTACTCCAATTTTACCTTATCCTACCCCCACGAATTTCAGTATATTTATGTTTTCGACCACAAGCAATCGATCTAGCCTATTTGTGACCAAAAAAAATTGCCTCTAAATAGGAGCTGTGGCATGAGGGAAACATTGAAATGTCTCCCTAATGTCCGGTGTCTCCCCAAGGTCTAATTTACAGGTAGAATAAACAGCACTTATAAGGCGCACTTTATCTGCAAGACATTCAAAGGGGCCGGTCCAGATGGACGAAGAAACTCAAGTTTGCGTTTGGGGAGGAAAGGCCAGTAAGAAAAGGTATGTTTTGAGTTGCCGCTGAAACTTTGCAATGTCATGTTCTCCTCTGAGATAATCGAAAGGTGAATAAAATAGGCGAGGGGCAATGCTAGATAAAGTCTGTCTGCATAATTGGCTAGTCCAGTCCGGGGAACAAGGAGACTATCACTGGTTGACCGCAGACCCGACCTCACAGAGTGGGGTTGCAGTGTCTTGAATGCGAGGAAGAGGGTTCTTGAGCTGAATTCTGTGTTTAACTGGTAACCAATTAATGTATAGCCAGTCATGCAACTGGGAATTTAGAACCTAGTGGTAGGGTAAGGGAGTTGTTAGAAGTACTCACCGGCATTCCCATGGGTCCCGGCATACCTCTCTGTCCAGACTGCCCTGGTGGACCCGTTGGGCCGGTCATACCATATTCTCCTTGATCACCATCATCGCCCTGCAGTCATCACAACATACAAAACAAACAGGGTTAAAAAACTTGATCCAAAAGTCTCATTTAGGACATTCAAGGGAAGATACAACATTTGCAAACATAAAAAAAACGAAATGATCAAATTATCACAAAATATCTTACTGGATTGTTAGGGAATGACAGTCTAAAGCATCCTGTAAAGTTGTGGCTCCTGGTGTGCTGACAGTTTCAAGAAAAACTGTATTTTTCCAATGCTGGTCAGCCGACCAGCGTTGGAGAAAACTGGCTTTTTTCAAAAAGTGCTCCTAATTTTTCATATTTAGTTTGTCCGCATTTTCTTTGCAATTGATTAGGCCTACACACCTGTGAAGACTACAAGCCTGCTAGACTGATTCTCTGACCTTACAATTCCCCAAAGTGTATTAATTGCTCCGTTTCATCTTAAGTGGGGTCAGGGAACCACACTATAAGAACATGATAGGTTTTCTTGGTTTTTCCAGCATCTATGAACCCAAAACGTGAAACAAGTCAGTGTAACAATATTTGCTATAACATACTAATCCTCCAAATCCATTAATTTCTGAAAATTGCACCAAAAGCAAATGTTGTACATTCCCTTTAAAGGTCAATAGCTCTAGACAAGACATTCAGATGCAGCCAAACTATCGTCTTGCCCATTGATGAGTGGAACCAGGTATGATTTAACACCCACCAACAAGGCCTCCGTTCACCCATGTAGAGCCTCTCAAAACCAGGTCCCGACCAAGGCTAAATTTCACTCGGAAAGTGCACTGGACCATGTATCTTTTGTTAGATTCTTACCAGTGCGGCCACAGGTTTGAAATCTTGGAGTTTGACCTAGGTTCAAGCAGCAGCGTCACTAGGGTTTCACTTCTGGGGGGAGTGGGGCGCACCTGAGGGTGCACCACTTTTTTCAAGGGGGGCACTGAAGGCAACTGATACAGTATTTTTGTGCAATTTAAGATTTTGAATAGGGGGAAACTGGGGGGAGGGGCACGGACTTCTGCTGGGGGGGGGGGGGGCCCACATGCCAACCAGTTGTTATGCCACTGGGTACAAAACAGAGACTTGAATTGTGAAAAAAGGCCTCTAATCTCAATAACTCAGTTACTTAGTCATCAGTGATCAAGTTGGTCACAGGACAAATGGCAGCTCCTGCCCAGCAATAATACAATAACCATCGACAACAAACAGTGATTGAGACACAATTCAAAGTGAGTTTCACTTAACCCTTAAAAGGGCCGGGGGGGGGGGGGATCCCCCCTCAACTTTTTTCGCAATAGCTTTGAAAAAAAAATGTTCTCGACATGAGCTGTTATGACTTTTCAGCCTCAAGCCTTGCGCATCTTTTGATACCAAAAACATAAAAATCGGACCACGGGTAGCCGCGCAGCGAAAGATTTTCCGGCGCTATGTGCCGTGAAAACTGAATTTTCCCATATACATAGTGTACACAGAGCAGTGTTTCCCCTGCCCATTCAAATATGAGGCGGCCCACCTCGCTACTTTCAGTGACCACCTCGCTCAATTTTTGCCAATATCACCACCTCGCTGTGAAGATTTGCAATAAAGGAAATACTAATCGACAAATTTTCATTTTGTGTAATTTATGAGCGTTTTCCTTGACCTCTATGTATCAAGAACTCACAATTTGGATGTGTAAATGGAATCATTCGCATTTTTGTAAGGGCAGCATGTTTTGAGCTTGCAAACTGCGTCAATTTCATTTCAATCATCAATTTGAATCTTTACCACCTCGCTCATTTCATTAGCCAGGGGAAACACTGACACAGAGCACAATTACCATTCGTACATATGAATATTTAATTAGCCATAATTCCAAAACCCTTTGACCTATAGCCCGAAATTTCCAGGGTGTGTTCATGATGAGTTGCTCTATACATGTACCCTGTTTCAAAATTTTTCGTCACTCAATGGCCGAGATCTTAGGGGGGGGGGGGCGGAATCCCCCCCCCCCCCACCCCCGGCTGAGAGATGGTAAAAAAAACACGGCCCTTTTAGGGTTAAAACAAGGCTTGCTCTTATTAACTTAGAATAGCATTTTTCACAGCAGCTTGACTCAATCTACGAACATAATAACTTATTAGTCTTCCACTTATTATTTCATGAACGGTATCATGAGGGGAACTTACCATTTCTCCTTTCTCACCTTCCGGTCCCCTTTCACCTTTCAACCCTGGTCTCCCCTGAGGGTAATAAAACAAAGAACATTTCACGTGAAACAGAGAATCGTGGCTACCCTTTATTCTCAGTTTCGACCAAATAAATAATAAGTAAGATTTGAGGCTTTGCATGGTGGAGATACTAAATAATGAAAAGTTTGCGGAAACATCATGTGGGAATAAATTCTCAACTATTAAAGAGAATGGTTCTGAAAAAGAATCAGAGGTATAAACTCGACGTTCCGGTCAGTATGCTCTGACAGAGGTATAACTCGACGTTCCGGTCAGTATGCTCTGACCGTCTTCATTTGTTCCAGTCAGAGCATACTGACCCGAACGTCGAGTTTATACCTCTGGTTCTTTTTCAGAACCATTCTCTTAGTTGAGATATCATTCGCACATGGTGTTTCCGCAAACCTTTCAAATAAATAATAGAAGATGAAAAACAAGCTCATTAAGAATACACTGTCCTCTGTTATTATTTTTACATTCAATGATTTTATGTGGCAAGTTCGTTATTACTTTGTACACGGGCACCAATCAACACTGTGAATGCATGCACATCAGGAAAACTATTCAAACCAAGCAAATGAATCGCCGATATCTTTGAGTAACTGGTCCATATATGTAACAATGCCGGAATAATGCCCACTCTTAGGGTGGCTTCAGGACCTGCGATTTGCTTGCGCCACGACGGAACCGTAGGCATCAACCAGAAAAGTAATGCTCAGGTCACAAAACTGAGAAATCATGTGATTCTTGGGGAACAAGCTGTATCTCGACACAAAATAATCACAACCATGCTCACGTCACCCACGATGCGACGACGATTCCTCGGCATAGATGAGATCATGTGACGTCTTCAAAATGGCGGTGTGCATGTTGATAACAATCAAACGATCTTCCACAGCCACGACTGTTCATTCGACCATTCGATGAATTCGGATGCGCGCACGGACGTCGTAACTTCACACAGGTCGACGGCTGCTATTGATTCCCGCCTGTCAGGAACACGTTCTGTCGCGGCGCATGATTTATCATTTTTCTACTCTTGGGACTATTGATTGTTTTGAGTGCCAACTGATGCCGATTGTCTTAATATCGTCCCAGTTTCACTCAGGTCCAAAAGTGGTGACTGATATGTTCCTGACGGTCGTCAGGCGCAGCTTGATCCTGAAAAATCAGTGTCGGCACAAGCTTAACCTGAAGGCGGCCATAAATACCTTCCAATTGACTCCATGCACAAAAACCCTCAACGGTTACAAAGTTAGAATTAGAGGATACCATCAGTCTTTATTATGGGATCCGTGCGCCAACAAATGAGGGCGCCCTTTTACCTAGCAACGACGCCCATGGGCGGGACCATTGATCTCCACAACTGGTTGACGCGTGCGCATCGTTCCTTGTGCGTGACGCACGCACGTACACCAGGGGATTTGTACTATGCAGTGGCCGCGCTTTGCGGCAAAATATTTCAGTCAGGCAAGATGGCGTCGTTCGGCCAACCCCAACTGCACTTTCTTTGCCGGTGAGGCGGTACTTGCAAACGGAGCGGATAGAGCTTAAAGCTAAATTATTTATGAAATAAATGAGAAGTTAAATCTTACGTGACCTCCCTTGACCCCAGGAAGACCGGGTAGGCCATCATAGCCCCGGTCACCCTGAAATAATAGTGAGAAGAAAAATTTGAGAAAAAGAAAAGAAAGTTACGTCACTCCTTGCCAAATTAATATTCATCTTATAGCTAATTCAACTTCTTTCAAACCTATTTCGCATTTGAGAAAGAATGGCTAGGACTGAAACGTCAGCAACCGATTTCACGAAACAATGCGCAACTTAAGCCATGCGTAGGACTTAATAACCAAATTTATTGCACAGCTGCGCAATAAACTAACGATCTATTTCATGAAACGTGGCTTTACTGCGCAATTTTTGATATAATCTAAAAATCTTGGAAGAGGTTCAGCATTTACGACGGCTGTTTGTGTATGATTTTGTTTGTTCATGAAACAGCCACTGAATCACCTCCGCCCGCCATTTTGAAAATAGTTTTGTCTGATTTTTTTCTGAATCGTGCCGCAACTCTAAAAACTCTGTCACAAGTAAAACAGCAATTACTTTACGTCAAGCACAACGCTGCGAGTGTCGTGTATCAACCTTGCTAAGCTGTGCAATAACAGGCTCGAAAATGATCACAATTTGCTGGCAAAATACATGTACGTCATTTTCAGTCGCTACGCCACAACTTACGCCATCTACAATGATTGCGCAAGTTACACCATCATTTGTTGCGCAAGTTGCAGACTTATATACACTTTATGAAACTTTTGTGACATTGTCATAACTGAAGTGTTGTGCAGCATGAGATGTTGCGCAATAACGTAAAGCTTCGTGAAATCGGCTGCAGGCCCTCTAACTTTTTTTGATTTAATTAAATTACTTACACTAAAAATGAAAATGTGTCCGTCAAAATTGCTTTGAACTTACAGAAAGTGTCGCAGCTAAGTGACAAACACTCAACAAATTATGTTGTGATTTGTTTGGATGTTGGGAAGGAAAAGTGATAACTTTCGACAAAACAAATTTTAACCTTAAGACAGAAAGCCCCTTTTTGAAATTTAGGTTTGGTTTAAAGGTATAGTCCATCATTTGTAATCTGTGCATTTTGTTCGTTTGAAGCAACAAACGTACTCAAAATCTGAAGAAGGGTGCTGAACAACTAACCTGATGAAGTTTCAGCTCAGCTTCAGCTGTATATTCCGAGAAAAACAGCATTCTAGGATCTCGATTTCATATCAAAAGTTGCTAAATCATGTTTTGAATTGGGCCTGAATTCAGCATCCGAGACAGGTTCTCACTGAGCCGAATGCAGCTACGCAATGTCGCACACCGATCCGACGAACTATAGCAACCAGGCGCGTGTGCGTCGTGTCAACGCTTGCGCGCGCTTCGCCAAATAAAAAAACGAACTACTAACGGAAATTTCCTACGGTGCGTCTTAAGACGCACCGTTGGAAAGGCCTTCTTTCATTGATTTCTTCAAAATGACAGCTTGCCGGAAAGAATGATTTTACAGGGCGTTTAGTTCCCTTACTATCTTTCAACCAAGCACGTTTTTCAACAGTAATTGCGTCAGTTACTTTTTGGATAGCTGCAAATGATGGACTATAGCTTTAAAGGTTTAGGAATTCTCTCAATGACTACCGATAATGTAAGCATTTAACATTTCACAACCCATATTAAATATGGCTACATTAAATATGGCTATAATATATATAATCATATTCAATATGGCTATGCACAGAAATGACAAAAAAGCTAGAACTAGACATACTTTGAAACCCATAAGTCCTGGTGGTCCGCGGGGTCCATCCTTCCCGGCTCGTCCCTGTAAAATAGTACAATGTATAATCACCATTTCTGATAAGGGAATAAATAGGTGCTTGGCCAATTTTAAATAACTATGTTTAAAACCGGCTGGGGGCCTAGACGGGTGTAATTGCTCGAGCTCAATTCCTAAATACCTTTCGGTGAAAAGGTCAGAAAACATGTCAAGCATTATAAATTTCCAACGATTTTGTTCAACAATTTTGTGAAACACCCCTCTAGCTACATGTATGTTGATGGTATGTGCCTCGCGCGAGTAGTACTAAAACTCTCCTTATATGGAGATTGGCGCACGCCGCGTACTGCATGATGTGGCGCAGAACACAGCTGTACCGGAAAAACGTGTTTAAAACCAGTTTATGTTTTATCAGCCGTTTAAAACCACCCATATGACGGCTCTCAAACAATAGGAATGAGTAAACTGTCTTAGGTATTTATGAATAAGTATTTAATATGTTTGATATTAATTTGATGAATAGGATTAATTAAGTATAGAGTCTATTGGCATACACTTCTCCAAACGAGGAGGATAATACAAAAATGGGTATGAGAGGTTTTTTTTGTGATATAAATATAAAACAGTGTGAAGATAATTCTTGAAAGTTGAGGATACCAGACTCTCTTGAGCACATTCGGGCACAAATTATGAATGTGCACAAATTACGAAAGTGCAGTAGACTATCATGCGGTTACTGCCTATGTGTCTACTGCCCATGCCATTTGGACCTGCGCATGCGACTCCTGCATGTGCTGCACTGCTGGTACATAGCAAAACTATTGAATGGCACATGATGGCACTGCTGGTACATAGCAAAACTATTGACTGGCACATGATGGTGAATTCGCCAGTTAGAATTGGGCTCTCGTTTGTGAATATGTATGAGGTATATATTAATTGCTTATCACATGAAGAAGACAACAAGTTTTGGAGAAACTCACCCTTTTTCCGTCTCGACCACGGTCTCCAGGAATCCCATTTAACCCTCGTGGACCAAGATCACCAGGATTCCCCGGATCTCCTTTGGGACCTTCCAGACCAGGGGGGCCCTGGATGCGAAAAAAACGGAAGACAACTTATTGGCTTGTCCAACTACATCCGTACTAGCCCCATAATTGTGGCCAATTTACTGGACTACCTCCGTAAATAAAGGCCACACTTCCACCGTGTACAAAAACATGTCGAACTTTGTCAAATTTTGATTTTCACATTTAGGCTTAGTTTGTAGTTTATTTTTTGCTTTAGAAGCATACTCACCCTCTTTTTAGGCTAATCAGAAAGTAATGCCTTTTTCAGACGTAATTTTTCGTGAAATTCCCAGATTCATTTGCACACATTTGCGTATCAAAATTTCAACATGAAATTTCACGAAAATTAGACATCTAAAAAAGGCACCACTTTCTGATTAGCCTATAGGATTAGCCTAAAGCAAAAATAAACTACAAACTAAGCCTAAATGTGAAAATCAAAATTTGACAAAGTTCGACATGTTTTTGTACATGGTGGAAGTGTGGCCTTTATTTACGGAGGTAGTCCAGTAAATTGGCCACATTTATGGGGCTACATCCGTACTTCATGCCATCCACACTCTGTCCCGACCAAGCAGCAGCCGATTTTAAGATACTTTACGCAATAGCGTTACTCCACTTTTGCAACAATTTATTGCGTAATACTTCAGTTATGACAATTTCGAGAAAGTTTGATAGTCCGCGTAATTACGGCATAACTTGCGCAATCATTTTAGGGGGACTAAGTTGTGGCATGGCCACTGAAAATGACCTATTTTGCCAGCAAATTATGATTGTCGTGGAGCCTGTCATTGCACAACTTATCAAGGTTTATACAAGACACTCATGGCTTTGTGTCTGAAGTAAATGAATTGCTATTTTACTTGTGATGGATTTTTTAGAGTTGCCGCACGATTCTGAAGAAAATCTGACAAAACTATTTTCAAAATGGCCGGCGGAGGTGATTCAACGACTTTTTGGTAAACGAACATAATCATGCACAAACGGCCGCTGTAATTGATGATTTTATCCTTGTCCAAGATGTTTACATTAATTAAAACGCTGGGCAGCTGTGCCAAGTTTTGTGAAATCGATCGTAAGTTTATTGCGCAGCTGCACAACAAATATGTTGGGCCAGACCTACACATGGCGGAAGTTGCACACTGTTTCGTGAAATCAGCTGCTGTCACAAATGGACAAAAATAACAGAGTCCATATGTCTACAAAGTTATTTCTAAGATTTGAAGACATCAGAAACATCCTTTAAAATGGGAAAAACCTTTCTTTTGATGGTCTTACCGTTGGTCCTGTTCTACCTTGGTATCCTTCTGGTCCACGGTCTCCTCTCATAGCAAACTGAAAAAAAACCAATGATCATAGAAAAGAGTTATTGTGGACAGATGCGTATAAAGCTTTCACTCCAATGGCATAGTGAGACAATTTTTCATGGGGGAGGGGGAAGATATTTTTTGCTTGGTCGGGATACCTTTTTACTTTTTTAGAAATCTTATGGATATCTGTTTCAGGTGCGTAGCATGGTGATTTTGAATTTTTTTTGGGGGGGGGTGGAGGGGGAGAGTAGATGTAAAAAAAAAAAGGCATCTTGGTTAAGAAAGGGCCAACATTCCATAGAGCGGACTCTTTCGATTCGGTTAGACGCGCGATGACGAATCACGATCGTCCAATGCTGGTGAAGTTCGTATGGCATGGTGGGGGGGGGGGGGGGGGGGGGGGTAAATCAGGATTCGAAATTAGCGATAGCCTGCTAGCCAAATGCTAGTCAGAACAGCAGCAGGCTAGTCGAACTAGTCCCTAAGTAGCCTGGCTGGCGAATCAAACAAATATTGGGTTACGGCAAAGATGAAAGGACATGAAGAAATAAATCATGAAATTCAGAAAGCAAACCTGTATCAATTTGTGTATAATTTTATCAACTGTTTCAAAAGGCTTAAATTATTAGATCTGTTCATTAAAAACACTGACAAAATTGCCTCAGAATAGATGAAAAATCAGTTGGAAATGGGTAGAAAGGAATTTTACTTTCAACCTATTTCCGTTCCAAGTTCGTTTTGTTGGATCACGTCTGTTTTCACATCGCATACTTGCGTGAGAACGAAAATGATAACGACGCAAAGATTTAGCTACGTACATGTACATCCGATTCTATAGATTTATTCTGGCTCGTTTGGATCACGTTTTAAGACTGTTCTCATCAACGGTCATTTTAGATGTGTTTGTAAACGAAAACAATCCTTCAAGTTTATTTTAAAAAGTCTGTCCCAAAAGACATTAAGTCTCCTGTTTAAGTTTAAGATTTTACCCGATGACCGCCACAAAATTATTTCATAAATGGTCTTGAGTCCACACGAAAGCGGAAGTGAGAGGTCAATTTTTGGCACGATATTTCTCTTTCACATCATGCGATTTTTCAGTTCCCATAAAATTCCGAGGGTTATTTTCTTAAGAAATCAATGTACCCAAACTAATATCAAAAACTTTGACTTTTACACATTCATTTTCCTTTTCGAGGGGCCCTGATGCGCGCCGCCAGGGGTAAACTTTCAGGCTCTAGACACATTTACATATACACAGATTGTTTTTATACCACACTCTATAACAGAAAAAAAACATGCGGGCAAGTGAAATTGCCCGCGGGCTAGTTAAGAGTCCGTTTCAGTAGCCCGGCTGGCTAGCGAACAAAAAAGTTCAGGTCGAACCCTGGGTAAATACCCCCTTATCAACCCCCCTGACCACCCTTGATGCTACGCCACAGTGTTTTGCTTTGTAAAAAAAAGATATAAATCTGATATGTTTGTCCTCCATCAGTTTTTGGTCCTATGGGCTCCATGCGCCAACGAAGGAGGGCGCCCTTTTACCTAGCAACGACGTCCCATGGGCGGGACATTTAGCTGATTGATGCGCACCGTTCCTTGTGTGTGCCGCACGTACATTGTACACCAGGAGATTTGTACTATGTACACGCAGTGGTACATGGTACAGCCGCGCGTCGCGGCAAGATTGCAGTCAGGCAAGATGGCGTCGGTCGGTCACTCCCAACTGTACTTTCTTTGCCGGTGAGGGGGTACTTGTGGACGGAGCGGATATCATTTCGCAGCTGCATTACATATTTTTGGTTAGCACACGAGCAGGAGTGGAACATGGAATAATGTAGTGTGTTCAGCCTCATGGCATATGAAACACAGAAGCACTACATTTTCCATGTTCCACGAGCGCGAGTGGGAAGTATTGGTTTTCCAGCAAATTTGTCGCACAGAAAAGACGGAACATGCATGCTGGACACCAACGTTTCTGTGGTTATCCTAATACTCGTACGTGCAGCAGGAATTGAGCGCACATCTTAGAATAGCGCGATACACGGAGCGCAGTATGGATTGTGGTATATGGGATATAATACCACACTGTTGTTGCCATGGATCAACCAATTAGGATTGTGTATTCAAGTGAGGAGTTGAGGAGGAGAGTTGGAGTGGAGGGATCGGTATTGCGTTGAGGAGGCACAGGCTGATAATGGCTGAGGTGGTACCGGCACGTGAAGAAAAAGGAAGATGCCAGCTGGGTCAAGAGGTGTACCAACATAGTCGTGAGAGGGCCCGCAAATGTCGGCCGACGGCGCAAGACGTGGCAGAGTTCCCTGATTGATGACATGCTTCTGCTTGGAGTCAATGCGAGGGACGCGACGGAAGCGACGGACAGGGCCAAGTGGAGGAGAGTCATAGGGAGAAAGCAGGCCAACCCAGAACAGACTGGACAACAGCCTCGAAACCGACGATGATGATGATGATGATGCTTGAAGATAAATGGTTGTGTATTGCGATTTCAAAATGACAACTTTGAACCGACGCAATTTCATCTCAACTTCTTATATTATGCTCATTTTCAAACTATGAACTTACCCTTTGTTCTTCCAGGACGTTCCTGATAGCTTCCATGTTGGCATGAGCTCCTGGCCCCTTCATGCCATCTGTAGCTGACTGTGCTATCATTGCCATCAGTTGTTGCTGAAAAATGTTGTAAAAATATGTACATTCACTCATTGTTACAATATTATTATTAAAGCTGCTGAATATTACAATTACTCGCAATTACGATTTTTGCAGAAGGAATTCATTTTATATTAAGTTTACATGTAAATCATTGGGTTCATCTTGAGGAAATTCTCCATATTTGTGTAAAGAGTGATGAAATTTAAAATAATATCTCATTTGCGTCATCAATATTCACCCAAAATACTTTTTGTTGTGCACGTCTATACGAAATTTAACTGATGCAGAAGCAAATAAACAGTGAAGTGTGATTTGCATGCACCGTCAAACTGCCCGCAATTGAGTAAATTTCAGCTGTCACATTAGAAAAGGTTTTGTTATTCAAATTCGGTGACAGTGAAAAAACAAAGTGTCAATCCACTCACTTTGTTTCACAGAGAAACAAAGACCTGTCATCTTGCTCTGTGCAAGATGTCTTTTTAGACTTGAAACCCTCTTGCTGTCTAAACAATCACAGACAGTCACAAAATCAATCCTCTGCCCCTACCATGCTTTTTACGCAGGCTAGTCACCAACAGTCAGATTATTTTTCTTGTAGGCACTGTGTCTAGTCAAATTCCATCAACAGACAAAAGAATGTAACAAAGTAGGCACAGCTGGCTTATCAATCACCGACAGTCAAAGCATAGCTGTATCAAGTTTAAACACAGCTGGTCAATCCTGCTTTATGTAGGCAGGGAACTTTCAACTGTTAAAAACAGCCACTTGATTGATTTTGACAGCTGGGTATGGAGTACCAAAGTGAATACGTCACGCGCACAAAGTGTGTGTGAAAGACATTAGCGTGTGATTCAGCCCGTGAACCAACACGTGTGCGTACTCCATTCGTTTGCACTACACTTTCTGGTTCTAAATGATGTCACACTTCGGTACTCCATAGCTTTGTTGAATATGCCAGCCAGAGAGGGAGAGTCCATTCAAACAGCAATTAAAGTTGCGTCCAAAGTAAAACCAGAGACTCACAGGTATTAGGGCACTCGCTCCTGGTGGGCCGCGGAGACCGTCCTGTCCATTGCGACCATTCTGTCCAGGTGATCCCTGATGGAGAACAACAAGCAGTCAACACAAGTAACAAAAATCACACGTAAGTACTACGAGTGAGCAGGACAGGGGATTGATATTAAGATTTTAAGTATGCATGGTGAAAATTAGTCTGAGTATCACCCGTTATCCACAGAGCCAAGTCTTCTGTATAACATCTAATATATCTAAGCATGCGTGATGCCATTTCATTCCGAAATCAGGACTAAGACTGTGATTGTTCAATTTCGATGCCGCGTTTTTGTAATACTCATCATGGCCATGATGAATTATGCGCGTATAGAAGGCGCCTGCTGATTGGTCAGTTTCTCGAGGTCCTGATGAAGACCTGGACTGCCAAAAGGTCATTCTAGGGAAAACTTTGCTCATTTAACCAGTTCACGTCAGATGACGTGTATACATGCAAAGGTTTTGCAGTATTTGGAATGGATGACGGATAAACACGCAACGAGCGAGGCCGGAAATATCTGTCTGCAAACCGCTCGCAGCGAGCGAGGCCGGAAATATCAGGGTGTGCTACCCGCAGATGACGGCCTGAACCCATCTGGCATCGAAGTTTGTGAAAAACAATCCCGCGCCTGGTTCGGGTCAATGTCAAAATAATCCGGCCCGAACGTTAACGAAACTAACATAACATTATTGAAGAGAAGTGTGCCTGTGACAACATTGCTTCAGGTTCTCGTTTCTTATTTCATACCTTGTCTCCTTTTGGTCCGCTGGGTCCACGTTCTCCAGAATAACCCCGAGGTCCCGGATCTCCCTGTTGAGAAAGCATACATTCGTTTACAGAATACATTCGTTTAACTTTCAACTTAGAAAAATATGAGAGTTTCTCGTCCAGGTTTTTGAGGAAAATAAAGGAGGCAGGTGCTGTTTTTTCTTCTGCTTTTTTCCCCAAAAGATGGCCGATTTTCAAAGATGGCGGATAGATTCTTCCATTTTCTTGACACTTTTGCTGATACAAATTATGTCCAAAGATGCCCGTTACCCATTCAACATACACGTAGCTACAAGTTTGTTGGAAACAAATAAAAAGACAATGTATATTTGCAAAATATATTGCCAAAATAACATGTATGATTACAAAAAAAAACAATTTGAGAACAGAGGCAGGCAGGGAAAAAATGAAGTGGGTGGCGACGAGAAACTGAGTTATTTTTTACTTGGCCTAATGTGCTGCAGATACAAATCAAAAACTACTGGGCACATCTTGCTAAAATTGCGACTGATCAGTACAGAAATTCTGTAGCAATCCAGCCATACTCTTTGTTTGGCCCAAAACAGTGATAATGTGTACAAAATTATGCAATTTATGACAAATGGTACCGAAAAAAAGTTGCACTTTTGTATACGTGCAAGGCGAGTGTGAACCACAACGTACACGTATACAAAAGTGCAACTGTTTTCGGTACCATTTGTCATAAATTGCATAAATTCGTACACATCATCACTTTTTTCGGGCAAATAAAGAGTATGGCTGGATTGCTAAGGAATTTCTGTACTGATTATTCGTTATTTGAGTGAGAGGTGCTCAGTAGTTTTTGAGTTAGACAAAAAAATATTGGGGGGGCTTTCTTTTTTTGGTTGAGTGTATATCCTAGGATCCTATAAAAACAGCAAAACATGTGCAGTATTCAAATTGTCAAAGTATTAGAAAACTTTGACGTTAGTGCTTCAGAGATCTCTGGGCAAATATTTCAAGGCTGATTGCAATGTGAACTGCAATGTACAGGATTTGCAACGACTTCTTGATCAACAGGAACTGTTAGCATTTAATTTCTTTCTCACCCAGAGCAACCAGCTTAACCACCTCGCAATTCGGGCGATTCATAATGCAGTGCGCCACCAAGAGTTTGCCATGGAAAGTTCCTTTTTCCCAGTGCATTGTGGGAGATGGTCGACAAATTCGCAGCGCGGGACATTTGAAATCGTTAGTTTTTCTGGTCAGTGGTTTCATCAGCGTATGATTCGAGGCTCTGGTTGCCCATTTCTTTTCTTGTTATCAATATGGTGTTTTGGTAAGGCAGCAGAACGCTATGCCCCAATCTATGACAAATTAGCTCAAGTTGTCTACCGACACTCATTCAAACTTGGGCCATGTTTTGTCGACCGTAAACTTGAAAAATGGACTCTCCATGGCAAAATCTTGGTGGCGCACTGCATTGTGAATCGCCCGAATTGCTAAGATAGTTTGCAGACATTAAGATCCCCAACCAGTGGTAGTGCAATAATTTGTGAACTGCATGGGAGTTGGCTTTAATAGCATGAGAAGCAGTAAGATCAAGAAGCGCCCTCTGTGTGTTAGTTTCAGATTACACTTGACTTCTAATTCAGTCAATTACAATTCTGCTGGCTAAACTTATTCAGTCTTGGGATAAAATAATTCCATTTATTATTAGTAGTCAATCAATAAGCTGAATTTCATTACATTTCAGGCTGATATTGCATTATGTACTTACCCTTGGTCCCGCAGGTCCAACTGGCCCTGGAAAGTATTCCTGACAAAAAAAGTCAGAAAAACAGATATAGAAGTATTGATGTAACAATTACCAAAGTAGAATAACCAGCAATGACTACTGCGACCAATATTTGCTTATTTCCATTCCTTCTCTCACCCAATTTAAATTTTTCAACACAAAAAAGTAAGGCTTATAAACAATGTAGGCTTGATGAACCATCAGTTTCTCATGGGCTATCTGTCATACCAACTGAAATGGCCTTTACAATTTGGGTGTGGCCAGTGTGCAGGGACATGTTTTGATTTCGTGACAGCTGCATATGACGAGAAAATGCATCAGCTTGAAATGGAGCCACTGGAAATGGAAACACTGTGCCCATACATTAGCTCAAGTGACATGTCTTAGGCCGAAAATCCATATGTCCGTTTTCGATGAGTGTATTGCATGGTGCGTTTATCTGTTGTATATCCATTGTAGCAGCAAGCTTCGTCTCGTGAAATAGAAAAGTCCAGATTTTACTTTGCCACAATATTCCTCCCATGCCACTCTGAGCCACTCAATATTTGAAGGCCAACATGAACCCTAACCGAACTAAACCCATCAAAGTTCAACAGCAGGTTTTGTTTTAAATCTGTTGGGATAGGTAATGTACCCCTAAACTGATGTTTTTTTACACTGGGGTTGGCATACCTCCAGAAACTAAGTCCAACAGTGTGTGTGTACAATTTCCCATGTGGGTGTTGGAATTTGCCAGAATGGGTATGGTTCCTAGTAAATTAGGCTGGGGAGTTTAGGGTTAATCATGGATGTGATTGGTCGAAACGCCGGGGGGGGGGGGGGGGGGGCTTAATGAATCAGTCTATTAACTTCATAGTCAAAGAAGGGAAAAGTAGTAATCTAAAACTTGACATAGACACATTTTAAACTTACAATTCTTGTTTCGCCTGCCTCGCCCTTCTCCCCTCTGGGTCCACGCTGTATGGATAGAGAAAGGTATATCAATAACAAATTAACTTACTGCTCAGTCAGAGACTTCTTGACTGGGGGGGGGGGGGGGGGCACTGTGACCCGCATTAGTCATGGTTGTCCACCAAACTGGTAGCAAAATCGTGTCAACTGTTGGCAAATATGCCCTAATGACCAACATGCACCAACTTGTGTCATTTGGGTGTCCAGTAGCCGATTTTAGCATTCCAGACTCCATTCAAGACTCCAATCAGTCTTAAAGATACTGTTTAACACCTCCCAAGCACAGATTTATTCCCTTAATAGAACGGGCAGGATGTCAACGTTGAAGATGGAAAATCTTCAATACACCTTTCTTGTACGTGGCACATTGTGAATCCCTTGTATTGAACCATACTAAATTTGTCATTTCATATGCCTACCACAGCAGTACCGGTACCAGGGTCTGTTATCGGCCCTGTACCTCGATCCGGAATGCTTGCAAACGAACTACCAGGATCAACCGGATCTGGGTAGCTGTATGAATCTGACGATACCGATTCACTTTCACTGTAATAGACTGCTGGCGTCGGTCCCTCCTGTTCACCATTTGTGTCCGGCTGATTTGTGGACTGAAGAAAAACAACCAAAAAATTCTTTATCTTTTGGCTAAAAAGTTGTACGATTACAAGAATAATACAATTATTATACAAATAATGAATGTTTATGAGTGCAATGGTGAGAATGTTTATGAGTGCAATGGTGAGAATATTTTCATGAGTTGAAAGATGGAATGTTCCCATAGAACTACATTAAATTACTAGAGCGCTAACTCGATGTACAAAACAATGCCTGATGGGCGCATCCATGTTTGTGCACAAACCTATGGAAAACTCGAAATTTTGTACGGCTTTTGTACGGCTATTTGCATATCTGCGTTTGTATTCCATAACGGTGCGTCATCGAAGCCAATACGCCCAAAACCGAAACGCACGATTAGCAAATGAGCATTTCATTTTGCTCAAACAGCGCAACGTGCGCGCGTCCTTCCCGCGTGCAGATGCTTTTCGCCGTGACGTTTTTTGAACCGTCATGACGCGCTTAAGTTGTTTGCGTATCTCCTACTTGCGCGTTGCATTTAGAGCACACTTTTAAAATTCAGTCCATCTATTTTGATTGTGTTCAACAAACACGCACATAAATTCAAAATGTCTGTGCCCAGAGCGGCTGCAAAGCATCTCCGCACACAAGAATGAGGAGTTAGCGCTCCAGTAATTTAATATAGTTCTATGAATGTTCCATACAACGAGGTGAAGCCGAGTTGAATGGAGCCTTCCGTCTTTCAACGAATGAAAAATAATCTCACAATTGCACGAATGCAAAACATTCATTATTTGTATTATATAACATCCAAGTAGATCCTTGTCATTCAATTGGAGGATAAAACTATCAGAATAAACAACAATTGCAAACTGGTTTCCTAGCATCCCCTTTTTTCCCAGCTTGTTCAAAGTTCAAATTAGCAAAGGTTTAAAAGTCAAAACATTGACAATATGAAAGGTAAAGTTCTTAAAACAATGCAAAAAAAATCTGCAAGGCAAGTTCAGTTGGTAACTGCATACACCTCAGAGGCAAGTTTTGTACTGCTGTAAAACGCATAATGTGGTTTAGCGCAAAGATCGTATAGCGCTGCTGCGCCTATGCGCAGCGCGCTATACGATCTTTATCTAGCGTGCACATGCAACAGATCAAAAGGGATGGAACCAAAATGCATGGTGAATGGAACCAAAAAAGCACGGTAAGGATGTTTATGATTTACGTTTATGATTAATAAATGTCGCGTGATCTACAATCCTCCAATCAAATGACAAGGATTTACTTGGATGTTATATAAACATTTTAATACAATGTACAATATTCCAAAAAGTGTGGATGATAATTTGGAAGACACAATGTCACTTTGCAGGAAAGTTTATGATAAAAAACAAGTCTGTCTATCTAATCAACAACAGTGCCTGTACTTCATACAGGTTGTGAAATAAAGGAACCACTATGGTACAAATGTAGGTATTCATGGGTACCGTACAAGTATGAAATAAAATTTAAAAACAGCCTCTGCTAAATTTGACTTTCTTAAGGACATGTTATCACTTTCTGATGGCTGATAGGTCACTGTGTTTATAGCAAATGTGTTAATAGCATTTTGGAAACAATCTGTAAATAAATAAACACTGCAGACTAAAATCAACCACGTGGGATTCTTTACTGTGACTGTATTATAAGATAAGGTAGATTTATATTAAGTAAAAACAAAAACTAAAACTAAAAAAAAAAACGATACCGGTACTTACAATTTCAGGCTCCAGAGCCCTTTTATATACAGGCATGGGTTCATTGCAGCTTGGCATATAGTCACGACAGTAGTCAAAAGCTGCATATGGGTCTGGTACGATCAAGAATTGTTGAATTTGGCCCTGGATGGGGAGAAATAAAGACCAAAACACTCAAATCAGTAACACATAATTCTTGGAAAGCCGCAAAAGAGGGGGCCGTATCATAAGTCCGACGCCTCATAGGTCCGATGCCTCATTTTGGACTTATGAGGCGTTGGACTTATGAGACATAAAATTTATTTATTCCGCCTCATAGGTCCGACGCCTCATAAGTCCGACGCCTCATAAGTCCGACGTCGGAAAAACGAGGCGTTTAATTTGTCGGACTTACGAGGCGTCGGAGCTATGAGGCGTCGGACTTATGAGGCGTCGGACCTAAGAGGTGTCAGACTTATGGGCCTTTATTTGGCTAGGGGATGCAATTTTGTCGGACTTATGAGGCGTCGGACCTATGAGGCGTTAGACTTATGAGCGGACCCCCAAAAGAGTATAGTGGTGGGAGAGATCAGAGATTTCTAAATCCGGTTATCCAAATTTTTTTCAAATCGAATAATGGTTGTCCGATTTCACCAGAAGCTCCCATTCGACTCACACAGTCATGTTTACAAATAGTGATGAGTGAGGTGCCGCATGCAATGCCCTCCACTGGGTATAGTTTGCAGGATTACAAAACATCTCGGAGCTGTAATGCTGAAAACAAAATGGGTGGGAAATCCCCGACAAGTTAAAGGTAGAGTACATCATTTGAAGCTATCCAAAAAGACGAAATTAGTGTTGAAATGCATACTTGGTTTAAAGATGGTAATGGTTCTAAACTCCCAGTGAAATTATTGTTTCTGGCATGCTGTCATTTTGAAGAAAACAATAAAAGAAGGCATTTTCCGACAATGCATATTTAATTCGGTGAAGCCATGAATGAGTGCTCGCAAGTGTTGACACGATGCACATGAGCGTGCAGTTGCTATTATTCGTCAGTTCATTGCGTGACATCATGTAGCTGCAATTGACTGAATGAGAACGTGTTGTAGATGCTGATTTTGGGCGCAATTCAAAAGCTGACTCGGCAAGTTTTGAATCAAAATCAAGATCCTAGAATATTGTTTTTCTCAGAATATACAGCATTCACTGAGCTGAAACTTCATCCGGTTAGGTGCTAAGCACCGTTCTTTAGTTTTTGAGCACTTTTGTTGCTTCAAATGAAAGAAAAATGAACAAATGACAAATGATGTACTCAACCTTTAAATAGGGGTTTCAATCAGAGACCATGGAGCAAATTGGGGGCTGTTCCAGAGTTGTCTTCTTTAGTATGTGACAAAAAATATGGATAGTTTCAAATATAGGATTTCCAAAATCACCGAATAGTGGAATTCAAACCGATCATTTTAAGGCTTCTGGATTGTAATGCCACCACTACAGAAGAGAAGTTCAGTTGATTCATCACTGTGGACAGTTGTGATCACTGGTTGTAGGCAAGTCCCCCCTCCCACCCCCCACCCCCACTTTTTAAAGTGGGGGGGGGGATATTATATGGACGGTCCCCCCCCCCCACTTTTTTTCATCCCCGAATAAAAATTGTGGCCTAAATACGATTCATTCGCTCAGAATAGCTGATGCAATGAATCCAAACTTGAAGATGACGTGTAAATTTATGATGATCTTTTTTTTTCAAAAAAATTGTGGTATCGCACCTCAGAGCGTCTAGAATTCAAAAATTGGTGATGGAAAACCCCAATACTGAATTTACAGAATCTCCTCGACACAACTTTGATCCTATAAATACTTTGGTTGCAGTGTTTTAACCAGATTCTAACCAGATTTCTTTTCAGATTCTTACCAGCCGACCCCAGCAAACTCAGTGGTTGAGTGGTAAGACATCTGCACTAGTAAGCAGGAGGTCATGGGTTCGAGTTCAACCCAAGTAAGCTTTTGAATTGTGTGTTGCAAGTCCTAGAACACCGAGTACACAGTGTACAAACAAGTGCGAGTGCACAATAAGCTCTGGCTGTCTTGCATGAAAGTCTTGCGCATGAAATCTATGAAAATGATCACTGCCACAGTTGAAAAATGCAACGCCCAAAAATGCGATGCTGATGGCACATATGAAACACCATACTTTAGATGTATACCTTGATTCACAGTGATTTGTGATAAATACCACGTGTCTTTAACATTACTGCACTTATTTTTTACCTCAATTTACAAACTTTTCATAAACATCTTTCCTTAACTTTTACATACAATTTGTGTTAAGTATCTAATTTATTTTGTTTGCTTTTTATTTTAAATTAAAATTTGGTAGTTATATTTTGTGGATAACTTATGGGACTTATTTTGGTCAATTTTCCGGGACAGACAAATGCAAACTATAAGTGCATACGTATGATCGAGACAAAGCCAGTTTTCAGATAACTTTCGTCAGGAGTACTTGACAACGGCATGGCATTTGGTCAAATTTGGATCATTTTGGTAAATTTTTGGTCATTTGGTCAATTTTTGGTCAAAATGTTTGGTCAATTTTCGGGGACAGACAGACAGACCGACCAACCAACCGACCGAACACCAAGTAACATGTAGAAGCTCCTGCCAGAGCTCAAAAACCCACGCAAATTCCATCCGTGGAATAATTTTACATTCCTGAGCAAGTTCTTCATTCATATTGCCCTTGCTACTTTCTTCATACAGGGTGAGTAAAAAAAAAAGCGGAACCCAAACACCACAAATTAAATTTCATATTTTAAAAAATATGTAGCATCAAAAATTATAACGACTGGAAAGCCAATTTCATAAGCTACTTTCAGATGTAAAAAAACCGAAATTGCTCAATCTGTTCAAAGAATATCACCATTTAAATACAATGACCCTTAAACCTCTTTCGTCCAAAAAATGCGATTTCAAGAATCGTCGTCCCATAACTCACATTGTCTTCAAACATCGCAAACGATAAACCTCAGTTTAAAAGTTTGAAGTATTAAACAAAAACATTTTGAAGGCCCGACTTTAAAAAAAAAAAAGGAATTTTATAAATCATATTGTTTGCATAACCAGGGTTGTAAATAAAGACATTGTGTACTACAGTTGTTGACAGTTGTTGAAAAAAGTACTCTGTGTCATTTTCTTTGTTGTTCCAAACAGTCAGAATACACAATAAATTGCTTTTTTTGGACGAAACAGGTTTTAGGGTCATTGCATTTAAATGGTGATATTCTTTGAATGGATTAAGCAATTCAGTCAGTAATTTTTTTTCATCTTAAAGTAGCATATGGAATTGGCTTTCCGGTCATTATTATGTTTGGTGCCTACATATTTTTTAAATATGAAATATATCTTTGGGGTTTTGGGTTCCGCTTTTTTTTTTACTCACCCTGTACAAGCAATGGTAACTCTGACCTTGGCTCAAAACACATCATATGTGTCTCTGCCAAACTATCTCCATCTACTGAAAGTGTCCACCTGCTGTGTGCAGGTTTCTTGAATAACAAAATATAAGCTCGTGTGTCACAGAGCCCTTGTCATCTCTTCCTCTAGTCAGACAAGAATATTGTCCTAAATTTCATGTGTCCAAAGTAGAAGCCTAGGGAACTCTGTGCCAAGCCCAGTCATTACAGAGGAAAGTCTCATTACAGCCAATTATAACTTCAGAGTGCAGGGAGGTTAAAGGAGTTGTGACATAGTTTATCCTTGAGTCATTCAGGATTGTCAGATTTTTGTTCTGCCTTGCTGGGAATTACAACAGGTTTCTGATCTCTATGTTACTTTTACATCACACTTAATAAAGCATTGAGTTAGACATTCTAGAATGGACCTATAATATTTAAGTAAACTTAAATGGAAGGATTACATTTAACTCACTTTTAAATTATTTCTAATGAAGATGAAGTATTGCAATAAAGAAAGCTTTTGAACAGACTTTGGAAGCGGGGCAGGTTCTTAATTTTGGAAGCCTAAGAAAAGTAGAGAAGGTACATCACACTGTATGCGATCCATTATAACCAAAGATGGAAGGAACAATTTATTTGAGAGTGAAAGCTTATAATTACATCTTTATGTTTGTAGCTTATTTATGTTTATGCAACAACCTACTCAAAAAAACAAAAAAAGTCATTTTTAATGTCAATGGCAAGTTCAGAGGTAACAGGGACAGAAAAAATGTCACACTTTGGAAACTAAATTTATATAACCAAAAAAAAACAACCCAAAGAAAAGAATTATGAAAGATGTAAATCTTGAAAACAAACTAATGTATGGTATTCCATATGTGCCATCGGCGTCGCGTTTTTGGTCGTCGCATTTTTATGCTTTAGCAGGGATCATTTTGATCGATTTCATGCAAGACTTTCATGGAATACTTCTTGCAACACTGCCAGAGCTTATTGTGCACTCGCGCTGTACAATATTTCGGACACCATTTTGTGTAGTTGTTGGATGGTATCCAGAAGAAGGAAATGTCCCCAAAAGGTGGGCAGGGTGCGATTTTTAAGCTCTGGCAGGAGCTTCTATGTCACTTGGTGGTCCGTCGGTCGGTTGGTCGGTCCGATGGTCTGTCTGTCTATCCCCAAAAATTGACCAAAAGTATGGTGTTCCATATGTGCCATTGCCATTGCATTTTTCGCCAGAGCTTATTGTGCACTCGCACTTGTTTATAATGATAGCATAATGCTCACTCACCTCAAAATGTGTTCCTTGGAATGAATTACGCATATCCCGTCCAAAAATAAATATTCCATCGGTCTTAACATTTGCTGGGACACTTCTTGTAAGGCTAGCCGTCTCCGTCACGTTGCAATCGGTTATTAGATTCGCGTTCTGACCATTTACACTTAAAGCTATCCTGTGCCATCTGTAGGTACAAAAGAAAACCAAAGTTTATTTATAACATTTCTTTAGGCCCTCCATACAATATAAATGACTTCACAAGTATACAAATACAATGCAATGCAATGCAAAGCAACGCAATGCAACACAGCCCAGCGCAACGCACCAATGCAATGTAACGCAACGCCAATGCAACGCAATGCCAATGGAACGCAACGCAATGCAGCACAACCCAACACAACGCAACACAACGCCAATGCAACGAAACGCAACACAATGCCAATGCAATGAAATGCATCGCAAAGCAGAGCAACACAATATTCAACGTAACGCAATGCAATCATATTGGATTAAAGCATTGTTAATGCAACCACATGTATTGATAAATATAATGTAATGTGAAACTAACTACATGTACAGTGTGAAACAACATCGGTAACAGACTAACAGGTTAATGTTTAGGATTATACTCATAATTAACCATTTTGTGCAAATTATGAAGTTATGTGGGTAAAGTGTTCATTTCTGAAACTTTAGCTTTAGCTGCAAATTCCTGTTTGGAGACATACTTTTCTGTAATTGAATTTTATTAATGCATTCCTCGAAACGCACCCTTTTCTCACATTCCACTTTAATCATAACCCACATAAACACAATTCTGTCCTTCCCCCCCCCAAAAAAAAAAAATTGAAAAGAAAGATCTCCCAGAATATTGATCACAGTATAAAACCCGACGGCTAAAAAAATTAAACCACTATGAACTGCACTTTTACACACACAAAAAACCCAAAAACGTTTCAAACTTGAAATCTTTCAAAGTTTGTTGACATCGTGCTTAAGTTAAAACAATGGTGGTGATAGAAGTTTATTCATATTTCCATAAGGTATAGTGGCCTTTGTAAAAATTAATAATTTAAAGCTTTATTTTTCCTGATCAATCAATTAAGATGTCACATCTGCATCAGCTATAGCTTCTGTGAACACTCCATCTATACAGGGTGAAGTACAAAAAAAAAACGAAACCAAATGGCAAGACCTATTTTGAATGAACTTTTGCATGTACATGTACATGTAGTACTTTCAAAATCTAGGATATGATAGCCAAATCAATGAGCTTTCTTTTTGTACAAGTACCATTCAAATCACTAATGTACTTTTCGAGTTACGGAGTGTTCAACACAAACACCGTTTTAGTTAGTTTGTCCACGGATCACAAAAAAAGGTAAGAGTTCTTTAAGCAAAACGAAAACAATTCACATGCCTCTCTGAGAATGATTTTTTTTTTTCCGTTTTGCTAATAGAACACTTACTCGTTTGTGATTTGTGGACAGAACTTAAAAATGGTGTTTGTGTTCAAAATTCCGTAACTTGAAAAGTACATCAGTGATTTAAATGAAAGCTCATTGTTTGGGCTTTCATATCCTGGATTTCGAAAGTGCTACAGGCAAAACTTCATTCAAAAATCGGTCCTGCCATTTGGGTTTATCAAGCACATCAAGCACAAGATATCCAAAAGTTGCGAGTATAATAGCACCTGTCACTGATTTTGACTAGATCCACCACTTGTGACAACTTATGTGTTTACAAAGTAACAATCACTTAAATTTCTTCAATCCCTGTCCTGAGTTTTAAAAGCCTTTAAAACCCTTAAAATGGTTTTAAAATCCTTTAAAACCCTTGCTACGATTGGACAATTCAACTGAACAGTATACAGAAAAGTCGGATCCGGCAAAGAGCCTTGCAAAAACACATTCTTCTATGTTTAATTTGAATCTTGTACCATAATCATCATGACACGCAATGCAGAGTAGCTTTTAATGATTTACTTAATTTTTTTTAACATCTAGTTGCACTCATTTAGCATGACCATTTTGCGTTTTGCAAGTAACAAAGGGACTACCGGTTTATTATTTGAAAGCTTATACTTGGATTGAAATATCATACTGGTACTAAACACCCCATGAAATTATTCCTGCGCGTGCTGCCATTTACAATGTAGGAGATATCTAGAAATGTAGACGATTTCAGGCCCATCAATTTGACTGATTTTACGAACAAAGAGTGTCATGGACGAAATAGTCAATTTTGTGATCAAAAGGTTGTACATAGTTTTTCTCTGTTTTTTTCTTTCTCAAAAAGTGTAATATCTACCGAGCTTAAAATTCAACAGGTTAGGTTTTGAACATTCTTCGTTGGATTTTGAGTAGGTGTTATTATTGGAAACGCGCAAAATGCTTGAAAGCAATGCCTTTAAATTTTGGGACATTTTCTATTCTCCTTCGCATATTTATAGTTGAAACGGGGTCTGTTTTGGTGTATGGACAAATCAAAGTTTGTGATGGGTCCGGGCGGGGTGAATATGCCGAACCAAAATTTAATGTTCGCGTCATAGCAGATCGTATTTAGCAGATCGTATTAGGCCTATCGAGGGCAATTTTGACTTGAAAAGAAGCAGACGCCAGGGGAAAAAAGCGTCGCAACTTTCTCCATCATCATGGCAAAGCGGTTTGTTTTGCTGGTCTGCGGTTGTATTCGCACCTCGAGCTGTTTACATAACTGCGAGCTTGGCGAGCTTGTATACTCGTTGAGGGAAAGTGCAGCGGTCTAAGGTGATGACCTAAATATCCCACATAAGACCGGACTTGGTCGCAAGTGGTATTTTAAAAACTCTTCCAGTACAAGTGGGCCAATTAAGGATCAACTTCAAAATGCAAACAGGCAGTTTGATTTCTATTCCTGAGAGCACCGCCAGGACAACTGTATATGCAACAAGCATTTCACTTATGTCTTCATCGGTTATGTACATTACAGTGCGTATAAAGAAATGATACATTTAGAGACAAAAATATTTAAAAATACTAGCTCATATTTTGTTTAATATAGGTTTTCCCGGCCAATTTCCTAAAATGATAATTCACTTCTGAAAATCGGTCATTCATTTTCGTCTGAATTTCAGAATCGCTCTGAACACGAGTTTCATTTTCGCTACCACAGCATTCGATTCCATTTCAGTTCAATCAATTAATAAGTGATTGAGCAGCACCTTTCATTTATGTCCATTCAGATTCGTTTAAAAGACTTCTTTTTCGCTTTTAGAGAGCGATTTCAAACAATCACCATTCTATTTCACTTTTAGTTTAATGCCATCGGCACCAGATAAAATAAGGGGTTTCTTTTTCATCAACCGTCAATCAAATTGGGTGTACCTGAAATCAATTTAGACAAGGCATGCTTACGTAAATGAATGCACAGGTTTCTCAAAACCGAATGCACGGGCAATGAAAAAGATTGAACTTTCGTTGAATTGAAATGGAATTAAGGATGTGCATTCAAATGGTGTTGGCAAGAAGAACCACCCTCATGTGATGGTAATCATTTTGCTCTTCAAATCAAACTGACAAAAAAATTAAAGTTGTGGTTTTTTTTCACCATTTTTTTCGATGCACATCAGCTCGGTGATTTAAACTGATGATAAACGACTTGTTGAACCTTATAACAAACATAGCCCGTCTGACTGAGCGGCCCGGGCGACAGGTGAGGTCTAAGGGAGGTCGAAACATTGCACCCCAGCATGCATCACTTTCAGAAGTGACGACAAGAAAACGACTGCCAGCCAGGCACGTTCAAGTAAGGCATCAATACCCTGTCCCCATGGGCTACGCGGACCCCCAAAAGAAAGAGGATTTAACCTCGGGATCAGGAACTTGGGTGATGAACTCTTGACTACTTCAGAAATATGCGCCTCTTAAAGGTACACAGAATCGTTTGCTTGATGTGCATTTTGTTTGAAGCAACAGAATCGCTTGAAATCCAAAGCAGGGTGCATAACGACTATTACCTGTGGAGGTTTCAGCTCGGTGAATATATTTTTAGAAACCGGAGAAAACATATGTACATTTTGGGGGAGATCTCGTAACTGGATTGCGTTGCTAACGCACGTACAAAAAAGGGGCATACGGGCATCCCATTTTGACACCTTCTTCAATGTGTGTTTTCTTCCGAGCAATACCACTTCAGGTGGAATAATTTCTCAGGGAATACCTATACCGGTCCTATCTTGACTTTCAGCAAGGTTTCTGTACTTTTTCGGGTAATTGCAAATGATCCTACGTGGCTTTAAAAGAATCGGTTTGCATGGTGTCTTTTATGACTTTTTTTTTTTTGGTCTTTTGGGAGAAAGACACTTTTATTTGACGCCAACTTTTTTTTAGAGGGCTTGTTTGCTGCTTCAGTTTCTTTATACATGTGCTGTAAAGAAATCTACCCTTCCCTTCAGACTGCTCGGGGGGAAGCCCACAAAGTCTCAAGCTCCCTTCCTTTTTTCTATACAAATGGGGATTTGCACATCAAACACTCTGGATGTTACCAAAGACAGCTGCTAGTCCCTTCTTTGAATGTCTTCTAGTTTGCTGCACATGAATGAATGCCTTCCAGTGGATTTGACACGGCGTCATGAAGTCGTCACTGTACTGCAGGCAAAGGCTAGCTCCAGACGTCGAATATTATTTCGAATATAATTCGAATATTTCCAAAGCTTTGAATCGGACAAGGCATAATGTCGACGTTTGAAGCATCCCCTGCATTTTGGTGCCGCTGCAATGTCGTACGCAAACGAATTAAATCATACGACAAACAAGGTGGTTCTCGAACCACGCGCCTCGCCTGGTTTCTTTTCGGTTTTTTTTGATAGAGTGAGGTGTGCATTGTAGGGTGGCAATGGCAAGGGGAAGTAATGCGGATGAGAGGGCCCTGATCAGTGTAGAAATAATTGTGGGTAGTAATGAGGGTGAACTGCTAATAATGACCTCAAATGACCTTTGACCTGAGCATGTGCCCTTTCACATCATGGTCATATGAAGGTTCCCATGTTGCTCTAGTATTACCCAAGTTTAGTTGCAATTGCACTTCAACTTCAGAATGCGAGCAAGTGTACATTTTCAGCCCAGTTGACAACTTGACCTCAGATGACCTTTGACCTTGGTATGAGACCTTTAACATCATGATCATGTGAAGGTTCCCGTGTTG